CAACATCAAATAAAAAATTAAAAAAACAAACATGAATTGCAGCTCTTCAAACCTGAATTGTATTTCACTCCCCTCCAATTAGCTGTTAGACTTAACAGCTATTTGTGAAGGAGTGAAACTGACCAGAAGCCACAGGGCAGCTTTCCTTTCCTTCCCCAGCCTCTCAGCTGCTGCTGCTGCTGCTGCTGGGGCTGAGAGACTGTGGAAGGAATAGAAAGCTGCACTGTGGTTTCTGGTCAGTTTCACTCCTCGAAGAATAGCTGTTAGGTCTTATACCTAATGGAGGGGAGTGAAATTGACCCAAAGCGGCAGGGCAGCTTTCCTTTCCTTCCCCAGCTCCTGGCAGCAGCTGGGAGGCTGGGGAATAAATGGAAAGCTGCTCTTCAGCTTCTGGTCAGTTTCACTCCTTGAGTGATTGGAGGAGAGTGAAATTGACCCAAAGTGGCAGGGCAGCTTTCCTTTCCATCCCCACCCCCCTGGAGCAGCTGGAGGCTGGGGAAGGAAAGGAAAGCTGCCCTACCACTTCTGGTCAGTTTCACTCCCCTCCCAGCAGTTGTTAAACATAACAGCTGATGGGTGGGAGTGAAACTGACCTGAAGGGGCAGGGCTGCTTCCCTTTCTTTCCCCAGCCTGGCTGCTGCTGTTGCACTAGGCACACTAGGGTGTGTGTGTGTGTGGGTGTCTGGCATCCTCAGGTGGTGGGGGTAGGGCTTGTGGGTGGGGGGCTCTGCCCCCAAATGCCCCACCGTGGCTACAGGTCCGTTGTTACCCAATATCTAGGTGCCTTTCTGACTTAGAAGCACCTGCAGGGGGGTGCTCCTTTTCACTGGGGGAATCCCCCGTAAATGCAGGTCATGTTTGAATGCTGCAACCACATAGGTAAAAATGAGTAGGTGGGTCTTTAGTTACCACTGTGGTTGCATCATTCACACGTAGCTGTATGGGAAAGTGGCTTCTTTGTCCATAGAGGGCACCTTGTTAAATGTGGGTATTATAGATTTCATATAAAGGTTATCAAATTGTGATCCATAGTCATTTAGTCCTATCAGTTCTTGGAGGGGACTCTGCTCAAAAGAGTGTATTCAGGATGGGCCAATAGAATGCATTGTTACAAAGCTGGTTGCCTTTTTTCCTTGTTAACATGAGGGTCAGCAAAAGAAAATGTCTGTTCTAGGTTTTGTTCACTGTCCCCCTCATTGGCCTCTAAAAAGCATCTGGAACTCCTCAGCTATAGTGAAACTACTCAGATACTCTCTTAAACTGTTAAATAAGTTGGGTGAGCTGTCGAGAAGTTTGATTTTTTTCTTTGGAACAAACCTTGTATTGAAGTGTTTACATTTGGCTTAAACACTGAATTATTGTAGCCATTAATATAAACATATGTGTAGATTTATGTCCTTACCAGAACATCTTTTGAGGCCTAACCTCTCACAACAGCAAAGTAATATAGCTGCTAATGGAAGAAACTAACTTTGTGAAAGTATCTACACAATGCCCTCACTAGGATTTAAAGGCCTCTGCTTTATTGATAGCAGGGTAGGTTTTGTTTCTCTCTATCCCCATTTGTTGGGTGTCCTTAGTATGGTTCTTTCTAGCCACACAGAGGAAATCTGCAAGTTTGGTGCTCCTGTTTTAGAAAGGTTTGGTTCCATAGTAAATTTTGAGCCCAAGTTCCAGGTGAGTTCAAAATTTACTCCAATGCATTCTTGAGTCCTGTCTTTCTGTATTCAGGGTTGTGCTTTTTAATAATTGTTATGTATCTGGTGTTTAATGCTAACAGGATTCCAGTCAATGGAGAGGTTTCATTGCAAGTAGCTGCAGGTGTGTTTCATGCTAGAGATAAATGGAGATATTTGTACAGATTTTACATCGCCAGTCTGTCTAAAACCAGTTTTAATGCATCAGACTTGATAGCAGCCTAGTGCTTTTGTCAACCTCTCTTTACCTTTGCAAATAGTTTCTGATAAGGGTTTTTCCCCTGTGTTCATATTAAAACACGATTGGCAAATTAGTTGTTTCAGACTCTGAATAAAGCAAAGCCTGAATATGCATGGATTTGTAATTATATCATGCAAATATATTGTAATGTCACTTAAGAAATATTAAAAATCTCTCTTCAGTCTGCTAATTTTCTTCAAATAATGGAAATCTTGATTCATGTTGTATTTAAAGTAAACCTGATATTAAAATCAGCCCCCCCCCCATTGCTTTCTGATTTTCCTTTGGAAATAGTCTTAAGATTGGTTCACATGTGCATGGAAGTAATTTGATTTGTTTTACCATGTGAATGTACTTCACTGGTAACCTTTGTATTTAACCTGATGTCAAGTTATAAGGACAAAATCTGCTTGTAGCAATTAATGTGTGATTGCTCATTCATACTGGCAAATCAGCACTCCATGCTGTAAATCCTGTGTGAAGCAGCCTTTAGAGCCCTGCTGTTTGAGAATGCTCCTACTCTTATGGATCAAAATCAATTTGTGTGTATTCAAGGTGCAAAAATTGCAATTGGTGGTAGGTTTTTCCCCCCAGCTGCACATACTGTATTCTTCTTAGTCTGTGCCAGGAACATTTGTCTTTATGAACATAGTCATATAACAGTGTGTACAAAGCAGTTTGTTCAATCTCCATTTCACCTAAATGTGTGGCTGTTCATTTCAATCTCTCAGCAGGCTACAGTCAACAGACTGCTCCTCAACAAGCACAGCAGTTCCAAGGATACAGTCAGCAGACATCGCAGGCTCCAGCACCAGCCTTTCCTGGCCAGGCTCAGCAACTGCCAGCTCAGCCTCCCCAACAGTACCAGGCAAGCTCCTATCCTCCACAGAACTACACCACACAAGCTTCCCAATCTGCCAATTACAGTGTGCCCCCAGCTTCTCAGCCTGGAATGGCTCCAAGCCAGCCAGGTGCCTATCAACCAAGACCAGGCTTCACACCACCACCTGGAACTACCATGACACCCCCTCCTAGTGGTCCTAATCCGTATGCACGAAACCGTCCTCCCTTTGGTCAGGCCTATACCCAGCCTGGTCCTGGCTACCGATAAGGAAGCTGTGCTGTTGAAAGGCCCCAGGTAAATCCAAGCAGCTGCTGATGTTCCATCCATATAGACTCCAAGATTCTTTAATTGGTACTGAAATACAAAAACTAATGAAAAGCAAAATATTCTTTGGCATCACTATTGCAGCTTTATTTGTTGAAATAAATGACCAAATGAATCTTGTTTCCTGCTTTAAATTGTATTGGCTTTCTAGTTAAATACTGGTTCCTTTGGAAACACTACCTAAATGTTTGTAAAGTAATGACATTCTAGCTTGCCATATTGAACTGCTGGGTGAAAATCTAGCTGACTTATTTGGCTTGTTTTTACTAAAACAATGATGTACTAAATTAGATCCACTTGTTAAAAATAGATATAATGTATAAATTGTAACATGCACACTGAAATTGAATAAAATGTTCAAACCATCATTTGATTGTTTTGTTACAGAGCAGTGTGTTTACATTACTTACATGCCTGATTATAGTCTCTTGTTTTTCCCCTTCTTAAAATGGTGCTGATTCACCATAGCCCTATCTTTTCTGCAGGCAGGCATGTGGATGGAACTGCTGAATAAGTTTATCCATTCAGAGTGCTGTGACGAGAGGAGATCCAAGAAAAATGATTTGAAAAGGAGAGGAAGTTAGGCTATTGGTGAAGTGGTAGCTCCTTGGAGATGAAATAAGCATCCTCCACAACTAGAAAAGCATGAATGCATTAAGTGAAGTGCTTTGTCCAGATCAAAATAGTTAACTGCTCCATTCCTGTGCACAGCGAACTTAGAGTTCTCACTGTGTTCAGATCCTCATGCACATTTCTTTGTGTATTCATTTATCCCGCACTTTTCTCCCCAGTGGGGACCCAAATTATCTTACACTATTTTCCTTCTCCTCATACATATCTGCTCTGTCAGAGTGAAATGATCTTTGTGGGGATCAAAATAGTTAACTGCTCCATTCCTGTGCACAGCGAACTTAGAGTTCTCACTGTGTTCAGATCCTCCTGCACATTTCTTTGTGTATTCATTTATCCTGCACTTTTCTCCCCAGTGGGAACCCAAATGATCTTACACCATTTTCCTCCTCCTCATACATATCCACTCTGTCAGAGTGAAATGATCTTTGTGGGCCTTGTAAAGGTGAGTGTGACTACAGCTTTAAAAAATGGAGTTCTTAGGCCCAGTCCTTCCCTATGCATGCCCAGAGGGATCATCGTGGGATGTAACTTTGCCTTGTTTTTAACCCCTTTCCCTCCTAGGTGATGCTCAGAGGAGAGAGGGCTCAACAGTGATATAGGAGATACAAGACCTTCTATTCCCATAGATGCACATTGGCGCAGGAGAGACCAAGCTTCTGATATTCAGAGCAGTTGGTCCACCTATACACTTTAAACCATGCAAAAATCTTGGAGGTGGCTGTTTGGAAATCTCTTCAGGCAAGACAAATACAATGTTTGTAGTGGGATGGGACCACACAAGATGAAGGGTGGTAGAGAGTGAAAGTTCTGCCAAGTACTCCTACAACGAATGCTATTCTGGTGCTCTACTGAATGAAGTGCACCAGTGTAATCACATGTGGGCTGCTGGCTGCAACCCCACAATAATTGCACAAAGTTGCCAATTATATGTAAAACAGATCTACACTACATCCTAGGAACCCTTCCTAAGGAGGTTTTTTTTAAGCATTGTAATAATTTTCAGCCCATGTAATTCTGGTAATGGAAATGGTGAATGATGCTGAATGATGGCAATAATATATTTATGATTAAAAATATTTTATTAAGAGTACAGTGTACCTGCAATGTACTTAGAAGAAATTCTCTTATAAACAGCCCATCCAAAATTCCTTGTGTTCCTTTTTATATCTTAATACATTGAATAAACACCTTTAAAACCTACATATATATATATATAGAATGTTTAAATGTTTAAGCAGTACAAATATAGCACTTTGGGAAGGACAGCTACTGTATTTTAAAACAGTCTTAATATAGCCATTCTACAAAGCAGATCACATTACTTTTCAATTTTATATAAAGTAAATTTTTAAAATATAACTGATGTAGGTGGTTTTGTATATTTTGGAGGTAAATTACTGTACACCTATTTTACTAACATCTTCATTGATCTATATTCTATTCAAATAAAACTCCATGATCATTGGTTTGTCAGAGTACATGTAAACCTGCTTATTCTTAATTTGACAGTCAGTTGGCTGCTGCTTATGTACTGTGTCAGTTACGAATGGTGTATATTTGTTGATAAGCAGCTTTCTGTGGAAACACTGAGTGAGAAAAGATTAAACCTTGTGTGTTCTTTGGAGGTGGAAAGCTGTGCTTGACATATACACATGCCCTTCATAAGTGACACTGGTATCTCATACTTGGGTCCCCATACTAGGGGATGAAGCATCCAGAACTGATCTCGTACTTGGCTTGATTAGTCTTGTGCATATTTTCTACCTAATTTGCCTAGCAAAAGATTTTGGGACCTTTTATCATTAGGCAGTAGCTAAAATTCATTGAGACAAAAATTTACAAAACTTACCAGTAGTGTTAGCTATTATGGGGCAAAAGTAAATATCAGAAAATGGCACATAAGCTGTTTGACGGCCAGCTCCAGGCAAGGAGGAATTATGACTTGAAGAGCAGACCTTTTCACTGTGGTCTCAGACGCTTTTGCCACAGTGCCAAAGCTCAGCTCAGCATGTGTGGCTACAGAACCCCTTATTGGCAACCAAATTAAAAGGATTTCACCCAAAGATAATGTCTGTTGTTGCTCCAAGTAGTAAAGAAGACTGGACCATTCAGCAGCTGCAGATGCGCGGTAAAGGAGTCATCTGTGTGGCTTTCCTGTATTTGTAATGTCTACTGACTGCTGAGTACATGGGTACAAGAGTTCACCACCATCAATTTTCCAGAGTTTGGAGTAAAAAACACACACATTGTCTTCCACTTTATAGGGTAAGGTTGAAAACATACCAAACTACCATGACTGAATAATTTAAGAGTACCTCAAAAAAGCAAGAAACCAGAACATGAACTTAGGCCATATGTATCACTACAATTCAGAATATAATCGTTTGTTATCTTTTTTGTCAAAAGGTGCCTCAGTGTCCAAAAAAGGATAAATAATAAACTACATCTTTCACAATAGATGGTACCATAAGACACTAGTAGGGAGCCAGCTTCCCAAGACATTACTTTAGGACATGTTCTAACTTCTAATTCCTACAAAAGAACCGTAGATCTGGGCAACTATTAAGCAGATAATGCAATTACATAGTTGACACAATATTTGTCACTAGGTTTTAGTATGACAAATGTAATACCATGGCATATTTCAGTCACTGGAATTTGTCTTATGTTGGTCATAGTTGGATACAGTCCATCAGCATTCAGTTCACATCTTGTTCTACCATTTCCCAGGTATTGTAGTTCCACATTCATACCAGTGAACATAGTTAGTGTGAGTCGCAGCTCCTATTTTCCCAAACTTGACAGGCTCCTGTCGAAAAGCTCTGAAAAAGCCTGGTAGATCAAAATTGGGGGGGCGGGGGAGAAAAGATATGAAGTTTAACGGCAGCATAACTGTTAGGAACTGAATAATACATTACATTTTCAGGGGTACACTAAAACAAATGGTAAACGGTAGTGGATCTCTTGCATTTTCTTCCATCCAGCAGTCCTTTTCAACCCCAGAGAAATCTATTCCCAGAGTTGCAGTACCTGCATAGACTAACAGCTATGCAAGCTGGGGTGCTGCAGTGAAGAGAGCAAAAGGGACAAAACTGCTCCCTTCCTCTTCCATCAGTGGAGTTGCTCTGATAGAAAAGGCTGAGAGGGCAAATTCATCCTCTTCCCACTCAAGTGGCAGTCCACAGGGGTCCCAAGACTTTGGGAATAAACTGCTCCAGGACATAAAAGGGCTGCTGAGGGGGAGGGGATTGTAGGGAAGATCCACAGCCATTGCCCGTGATTGCTGGATCCAACCCAATCTGTGATAATGGCACTGATATTTACTGAACATTGAGATTGCCATGTATATATTATTTGAACCAGTGTAGTTGCTAAATAAAAGTTTAAGGCTTGAGATTTATGGCCATTAGTACTCTTGTCTATTCAGGTCTAATTTTAACATTAACTGCTCATTATAGTTGATGAGGCCTGTTTTTTGTAGTCAGTACAAAAATAATTTGTCTTAAACTTTCAGGCCTTTTCACACATTACACCTAGATTTGTTTCTAGTTGAGGAGCCACACCTAATCCTGTTCCCTTGTGTACAGTACACATTTTCAAACAGGAGTTTGCTCTTGTATGTTATGCACACTTTAAAGCATTTAATTTAGTCACGTGAACATCAAGGGACACTCTCACAATCTCATAGTTTCAAATATTTTCTTCTTTAAAGGGCCTGTTGACGTACCCTCTTTAGTAGGTAGTTGATCTGGCGGAACCTGTTGCCCTGTCTTTCCATCAAAATATGAGTCCACAAATTGGCAATGGTCTTCTCCATGTCCTCTTTGATCACCTATATTATAAAATTTCCCTGAAAACATTAAGAATTTGTTTAAAAAGAACGTTTAAATACCATTAGAAGAAGATCAAGATGGGTAGCCGTGTTAGTTTGTATGTAGTAGTAGAAAAGAGTATCTGAAGATGTGAGCAGTGACTCACAAAAGCTCATACCCTACCACAAATCTTGTTAGTCTTTAAGGTGCTACTGGACTCTTACTCTCTTCTACTGTGTTAGAAGAAGATTAAAGAAATATTTATAGCCCTCCTTAAAAGGAAGAGAGCTCCCCACTCTCTGTTCCAATCAGCTAACTGCACAATTTCCTGTTTTTTACACAGCTATGCATGACTGGGGGAGTGGAAGCAGTAGGCACAATTCCTCATCTAGTTAGAAATACATGTTTGTGAAAACCTTTCCTAGGTGTAGGAAAGGGCCCCATGCTGGATCAGACTAACCTCTCCCTTATATATAATTAAGTAAGACGCAGCATCAGACGCAGTGGAGAGAAAATGCGCACCAACAGTGTTTGGAGGCTTGAACTGTCCGTCAGAAGCTTCCCCACCTTCCATTGGCCCTGTCGCCTAAGTCCCACCTCAGAACACAAAGGCTGTAGCCCTGCCTCTGCACCCGGTCCCCTCAGATGTCAGACTACTGCTGAAAACCACCTGGTGGGTGAGTGGAACCGAGGAGCACTTGAAGAGCGCCGCCGATAAGCCGCACGCCGCCACCTGACTCCCCCCCCGCCCAACTAGCCAGGGCTGGAGGGAATCAGTGGAAGGCCGCCGCCGGGAGCTCATCACCGCTCGCCGCGGCCTGATCCCCCCACCTTTATCGCACGCCTGTTTCCCCCCACCCGCACACCCTCCCCCGGCTTCAAAGACCCCTCGGAGCCCTACAGGCTTCCGGAGACAGCAGCCGAGGGGCAGCGGCACTGAGCCAACCCCTGCCGGCCTGTTTTTGCCGCTCCCCCCCACCTTCGCCAACTTTCGGGGGCAGCAGGCCAGAGGCAGCAACGCTGAGCCAACCCCCACCAGCCCATTTTCGCCGCTCCCCCCCACCTTCACCAGCTTTCGGGGGCAGCAGGCGAGGGGTGACGATGGCGGCGCTGAGCCAACCCCCGCCAGCCCGTTAATTTTCGCTGCTCCCCCCACCTTTGCCAGCTTTCCGGGGGCAGCAGGCATGGGGTGGCAGCGGCGCTGAGCCAACCCCCGCCGCCCCTTTTTCCCCACTACCCCCCTTCCTCACTCTCTCTTTCTTTTTCCCTATCTCCCTTCATTCTTTCCCTCTCTCACTTCCTTCCTTCCTTCCTTCCTTCCTTCCTTCCTTCCTTCCTTCCTTCCTTCCTTCCTTCCTCTTTCTCCAAACCCCTCTATCTATCCATCTACCTATCTATCTACCACCCACCCACCCTACCTTTCTAGGGCTTGTTGTCTTTGTCCACAATGGGCTTTGCTCCCTAGTTAAATATATGTTCAGTGGGATATATAAATACTTCAATGGAAGACTCATTATCTGCAGATAAAATTCTATTCCATTAAAACATGGATATAGCAGCAAGTACTAATACATCTGAAAAGGTTCAATATAACTGTTAACCAATATTGCCCACTACTGGAATAATGCTAGCATAGTAGATGTTTTTGCTGGGGTTTTTTGTGTGTAAGTCACATCTATTTATTTATTAGATTTTTTTTTAGTTGCCACTCACCCAAAGGGCCTGGTGGCAACTTACAACATTAAAACTATATAAATCAGGTTTTTTTTAAAAAAAGATAACAAATTCAAAATGTTAAAATGTTAAATTATTTAAATATGTGGCAGACACCACACCACTAACAAAAACAATCCAGATATGTAGAGTAAACGCCAAAGGCTAGCCTAAACATTTCGACCTTGCATGCCTTGTGAAAACTAAACAAGTCCACCAGGGCACAGGTGTCATCAGAGAGTGCATTCCATAGGGTAAGGGCCACGAATGAGAAGGCTAACCGAGTCATCCTGGGACCGGGCACCTGAAAAAGGGCCCCTAGAGGATGACCAAAGGGAGTGCGGAGGTTGTAATGGGGGAAGCAGTCCTGTAGGTATGAAGGTCCCAAACTTATTAATGGCTTTAAAGGTTAACATCAACACTTTGAATTGGAACCAAAGACTAATTGGTATCCAGTGGAACTGCCACAAAATTGGAGTAAAATGAGTTGACCATGATGTTCTGGACAGCAACCTGACAGCTGCATTTTGGACCACTGGCAGTCTCCAAAACATTTTCAAGGATAGCCCTACATAGAGTGAATTATAGTAGCAATCTGGAGGTAACTATTGCATGGAACAATGTGGTAAGGTCTGACCCAGACAAGGAGCCAGCTGGCAGGCGAGACGTAGGTGAAAAAAACACCAACTGTGCTACCATGGACACTTGTTTATCGTGCAGAATTCAACCACACCCTGAGGCTCTTTACAGAGGCTACAGCTGTCAGCTGGACACCATCAAGTCTTGGGAGTGACCCTCCAACTAGCATCTCAGTCTTTCACAGGTCTTTTTTAACTTTTCAGATTTTTCTGCAAACCTAGGGGGTCACCCAAGTTTGCAGAAAGGTTTAAGGTGAATGTATCTGCACATAGGAAGCACAGTTGGGAATTAGATACATATATTAGCATGCTATATTATATATGTAATGTATTCAGCCCCAACTGCGTGCAGGGCAAGGGCTCCACGCAGTCGTGCAAAGTCTTCGAGCTTCGCTCCTTAGACAATGGACTGAATGGATCCTAGTCCGCACCAATCGGAGGGCTAGGCTCCCGGCCGAGGGCCTATGGAACCCTTGGCCACTGTAAATAGCATATCACTGGTGTGGGGGTGTATTTGGGGTGTGGAGTTATGCGTATATAAGCCGGCCTGCGAGCCGGGCTTTTTCGTCTTGTTCTTCACCTAATAAAGTATGAGAGCTGAATTCACTAGTAAGTCTCAGTACTTTTCAATATATGACTATGATAGCTACATTTTCTCAAAATATATATTTTAATAGTTTGATTCTTGGTTGTTCCAAGCCACAAAGCATTGTATAAGCAATGGTAGAAGTTACTTATTTTATTTTATTTATTTTATTGAATATCCCACCCTCCCCGCAAGTGGGATTTGATGTACACAAATGCAACAGAGGAAGTGAGTTACAAAGCCACGCAAAAGTAGTAAACACTCTGGTGATGATTTAACAGGGGAACCCCATCAAAAAGCAGTAATTGTACCAGTCAGCTATTCAGCGAAGGGGCTTTGAACAGTGAGGAGGGCAGCCTAAATTCAAACTGCTGATGAGTACAGTTTTTTTTAAAGGACTGCAGGCACAATAGCTGACTCAGGGAGGAGAAACACATGCACATGACTTATTTGTTTCAGTTTCTCATCCAGCCAGGGATCCACACATAAAGGCATGCCTTTCATGGGTCCAGATACTTTCATAGACTCATATTTGTTGAACTTAGCAAACTCCATCACATCAGGTTGTAAAGGCAGCGATGGCACTGTGTGTGACAGCTAGTGACATAGGCCAGAGAACAAAACCTGGCTACTTTCACACATTGTTCTTAAAACAGAGTGATAACCATGTTAGATCACTCTGAGTAGTCAATGATTTGTGGCAATTCTCATTGTGGTGTTGCACTTTTGATGTGGGAAATTGCCTCTAGTGATATTTACATTTTCAGTTTGATGTTAGCATTCCAGTTTTCTTTTTTCTTCTTCTTTTTATTTCAGGGTCCTTTCCACAACCACTTAAGGAAAGATGCAAAAGTTAACCTCCCCCCCTCTTTCTATAAATGCCATTTCTTGAAATGCTTATTCTAGAAGTTTGCTAAATGAGGTCTATAGTGGCTGCTGGCAGGTTTACATTAGGAGAGACACTAAAATAAACCAGAGATTGGAAATGCATATACACATTTACTTTCAATGAGCATTGAGGGGTGGAGGACCTGTAGGTCACCTGCTGCTCTGCACTTCTATAATTTTGTAAAATGGCATATTACACTGATGGACAGATAAAAGCTCTCCATGTTTGTGGTCACTGTGCCTCTGCTCAAGACCTGTGTGCATGCTGCATTTGCTGTATAACCCACCTGTTGATCAGGTGGCAACTTCTGTCCACTCATACCACACCAGTCACTTGTCTGTAACACACTTGCCATATGCTCATTAAGAATACAGTTCCAAAAACTCGACTCCATGACAGGCATGCATAGTTGTGTTGCAGTATGGAGTGATGTGCAGCAACAGAGATAAAGCAAGTGGGGCTAGTCCATTCCACAGTCCTGTTTGTCATATGACAAGCACATGACATGCTTGGGTGGGGCTATAGTGAGGAAGGAGAAAGGGGTGAAATTGATCCTCCTTCCTCTTCTGCAAGTGCATCTCCATTAATGTAAGAGGTCAATGTCATCCCCCTTGTTCCTCCTCACTACTGACAACTGACTTGCACAGCTGTTTCTTCAGGTGGATCCTGCACCCTTGAGAACTCAGGAAAACGTTGGATACTGCCTATGGAAACTCATAGGACCTCAGCAGTGAAGTCTTGGTTTTTAATTTTTTGATTCTGAGCTTGCAGGGGGAAAAACTTGTTTGATTTTATCATACAGAGTGGCTAATAATGTTTTTATAGGTGTTTATAGGTTATAAATGATAAATAATGTCCTAGCTCCAGCTATTCTACAAACTTCCATGTGAGCATTTCAGTGAGACTGCCTTGGATTACATACCTGTAAGTGAATCACTGAGGTAAATTTTGTACCTCAGAGAGTTGCATAGTTGTACACCGACAAACTTTTTGTACCAAGTCCTCTTGACATACTGTTTTCCTTTGCATTCAGAGTAGTCATCAGAATTGAATTTGATTTCAGTCCAAATTGCATCTTTCCCCACTGCAATGGATCAAAAAATAAACTATTGGCTACAGCATACCAAAAATGTGTGTGGCACAAATAGTGAAATCCAGATAAAAAGAGCTTACTAAGAACTTGTTAACATTATTAGCAAACAAGGGACACTAGTGTCCCTTGAAGTGTACTTTGGGAACTCATGAGCTATGCAGCTCTTTGGTGCGTAACTGAAGTAGCTCTACCACAATACTATTACTCTAGAGTTAGACTGGATTTATGGCCCTAATATGCTGAACAAATGTTATGTCTGACTAAACTCAGGGCCAGACTAGACAAGAGATGGGCAGATGTGTTTCTTTTTTCATTTATTTATTTACTTCATTTATACCACACCACCTTTCTCCTCAATCGAGACCCAAAAAAGCTTACATTGTTCTCATCCTTTCTATCCTCTATTTTAACTTGTACCATTCATATAGAAAATGGGAGGTGTTTTTCTTTAACAGTAAAACAATCACATGAGAGTAGGGCACTGAATCCCCCCCTCCTTCTTGTGCCTTATACCCCACTTCCACCCCCCCCAAAATGCATAGCTCCAGGCACTTTTCTACAGTCCCAGCCCAGCTCAACTCCAGAACTGAAGCTGTGGAAAAAAGAAGTGTGCATGCACATGAAACCCAGAATTAAACTTTTCTGGTCTTAAAGATGCTACTGGACTAAAACTTTGTTCTATTGCTTCAGACCAACACAGCTATCCTCTGAATCACACTTCTTTTATTGTTAAAGTAAGATCCTCTGGAGGTAAATGGGGAGGGCATATGAATTATTATTATTTTGGTGTCAAGTCCCTGCTGACTTGTGGTGACCCTGTGGGGTTTTCAAGACAAGAGACGTTCTGAGATGGTTTGCCATCGCCTGGCTCCATGTCACAACCTTGGTATTCCTTGGTGGTCTCCCTTCTGAATACTAGCTAAGGCCAATCCTGCTTAGTTTCCAAGATCTAACAAGATCGGGCTAGCCTGGGCTATCTAGGTCAGAACATGGCTCCAGATAATTCTGCCTCCATATAAATAGTTATTTACAAATTTCCTAGCCTATAAAAGTAGTTTAATGTATTACAGTGAGATAAATATGCCCAGCTGCAACCTTGAGTTATGTTTGGGCATGAGAGAAAACTTGTGATTTAGAGCTGTGTATCTTAATGGCAGTGTTCTGTAAGGAAATGTCATAATTAATCCCCCCCCAAGTTTCAGACACAGCAAGCCTACATTCACAATACAGCTTTAATAACAAAAGCATCAGGAATTTGCAGTCATTTACACATGCAAAAGAATGATCAGCAGCAATTTTGTGAAGTTCCAATATTCTACTGATGAGCTCTGATAAACAGGATTGGGTGACTTTTTGCTCTCTCTTTTAGAATATACATGTTCTTTGCTAACAAGTTGCAGCCGACTTATGGTGACCTCGTAGGGTTTTCAAGGCAAGAGACATTCAGAGGTGGTTTGCCATTGCCTGCCTCTGTGTAGTGACCCTGGTGTTCCTTGGTGGGTTCCCATCCGAATACTGACCTGGGCTGACCCTGCTTACCTTCCAAGATCTGATGAGACTGAGCTAGCCTGGGCTATCCAGGTCAGGGCATAAATAGTTAACTTAATTATCTGATAGTTATTCAAAATGGAATCTGCTAGCAAACCATAATTTTTCTGGACTTTTGCCTTTGGCCACTCTTTAGTGGGTTCAGTGGGATTTCATTGGATGTCCCCCCCCCATTTTATCTGGCTGTATTTTTGTATGTTTGACTTGGCAGTATGAAGGGCTTCCTCCTTTCTTTCCTGGCTTTGCCCTTCATACAAAAGGCAAATCCTGGTTTACAGTTGCTTGGCTGCTTTTGTTTCCCACCTGCTCAGGACTACTATGTAGAGTGGTTCAGGGGCACCTGGGGGCAGAAAGTGCTGCAACTGTGGCTTACTCGTGGCTGTAAACTGTAACGCACGATTTACAGGCTCATTTCAAACCATGCTTTCAGTTTCTGGTTTGCTGGTGGATAGCATGATAGTTTGTTAATTCAGACGTGACACTATACCACAGCGTTAGGCTTCTTTAACCATGGTTTGGTATGGTATCTAACTTTTAAACATTTTTAAAAAGAATTTTGTCAAAGAGGTTCCGGAACTCTGTACTGGTGCATTCCCCCAGGGAAAAAAGCCCTGTGTCTAATCCAAACCCGTACATTAATCATCTCCAACTGGTATCTAATGAACAAACTCAGATACTGCAGAAAGGAAGCATGCTACTACAGAATGTTAAATGTGAGTAATCAACATGAATTAAGGGACCCGGTTCTGATGTGGAACTTATACTGCCATATGCGCTGCAGTTGTTTTTTACAGAGGGGCCCAGTGTTTTCAGAGCTCTCTAGAAGCAGAGGTTGATGGCAAATTTTCTACAGCATAATGGCAACGGATTGCTGCGTCTGCTAAATCACTTATGTAGTGAGAAGCAGCCTTCTCATTTTGCTGGCCCGTCTTTTTATTTAATGACAGGACTGAGAAAATATGAGCTGTGCCTGGCTCATTTCTGCCCATTGGTTCTGAGCCATCGGAGCTGCCTCTGGAGAGCCACATCACGTTGATTAGGCCGTTCTCAGGTAAACATTTAGCATGGCAGGAATACTTTGCAAAAGGCATAGGCTGAAAAAGTGAAATCATGTGTGAATGCCTTTCTATTTCAGTTCCACTCTGTCATAAAGCTATACATTATCTCACTGTACAAGTATGTTCTCATTAGAGTATGCTATAGGTATAAGGACTTACTTGAAATTTGCTCATTCACTCTTGGGTCCGCTAAGAAGGAAGGAAAAACAAATACTAGATCAGACCGCAAAATAACTTGTAGCATTACAGAAACACACTGGAAAAGGATTTGGCTGTAATTTATGAGAATTATAGTTTGTACAATACTAACATGGTTTAGATGTCAGGGCAGAAATAATGCAAATCTAAACTCAGCAAATCAGCTGCCCAAGGACTTAGAACCACTGCAGGGCAGTGCTTTTAAAAATGTTATTTATTGGACGATGCAGGTCAGTCTAAAGTGATGTTCCAGTACCTATGAATGTAAAAATTGCTATGTTATTTTGCATTTTAATATTTTAAAGGGTGCCAGCTAATTGATGCACTAAATGAAACTCATACCTGATTCTGTTTTAAATGGCTTTGTTTCACTACTTGGACCTTCACCAAGAGGGTTGCTAGGTATCACAAGGAATTCATAACTAGGAAGAAAATAAGAAAAAATGCTATGGTATTTTGCATTTTAATATTTTAAAGGGTGCCAGCTAATTGATGCATTAAATTAAACTCATACCTGATTCTGTTTTAAATGGCTTTGTTTCACTACTTGGACCTTCACCAAGAGGGTTGCTAGGTATCACAAGGAATTCATAACTAGGAAGAAAATAAGAAAAAATATTTTTTCTTTCTTTCTACAAATATCAAGCATCCCACATAACAGAAGCAATAATACTGGCTTACTTTACATGAATGTGAAACATTTTGAGCACTTGGGGGGGGAAAACGTTATTTACGAATATAAATAAATACATTCCCAGATATTTTAAATTTTGGCTTTGGAAGCTGCAAATGACTGAATATGACGGAATACATGTTCAAACTGCAAATGAACATGTATTTGGGACTGAATACATGTCTACATGTATATTTTGCCATGTTTATATGTATATGTTGCAGGAACCTACACTTAGTAGGGGCTTTTATTAGGGCACAACAAATTATATATGTATCATATGCTAATTTGTAAGATATATTGCATCTGTTATGGACATTTTGTATGTGTGGATTGACCCTGAAAACCTAAGGTTTTATGTAAATATTTGTTTGAACACTTTCATCTCAGAACTCACAGCAGACACAGTCAGAATTCAGCATGCCATGGCCACAACAGCTACAATCTTAAGAACACATTCCTAAAAGTAAGCTGAAGAAAATGGGACTTACTTTCATGTAGACCTGTTTAGGTTGCTCCCTACAGTTTTTTTTAAAAAAACATGTATAATATAGAAACACACATCAGGAATCCAGGGCCAGTGGCTGAAGCATGAAGGCTACAAATCAATAAGCAACAGGGGGAAAAAAACCCAAACAAGTATACCACAGCACAATTTACTGTGAAGGAGCAGCAGAAAAGAGTCCAAGTCCAGTAGCACCTTAAAGACTAACAATATTTGTGGTAGAGCATGAGCTTTCATGAGTCACTGCTCACCACACTCTGGCACGTATTTTGTTAGTCTTTAAGGTGCTACTGGACTTTTACTCTTTTCTGCTGCTACAGACAGACTAACATGGCTATCCATCTTGATCTACTGTGAAGTAAATTAGGCTCAGGGAGCATGACAAGCCCAAGATCGGCCAGTGATCTTCCACAGCAGAATAGGGATTCTAGTCTGATAACTACACCACACTGGCTTTCCATTTAAATCTGATTTAAAGTAGAAATATTGTGAGGGTGATTTTCATTATTTACTCCTCTCCAACTCCCCCTTATGTGATTCCTACAGGTTCCTCTGGACTCAGGAGCAGCATTTTGTGCAACATTTTGGGCTGCAAGTAGGAACGGAGAAGCAAGGAAATCACTCTCCAAAGACAGAAATCCCTTCTGTCAGTGGAAATTAATGGTGGATCCAAGCTGTTGATATTCTTATGTACTGAGATGCTGGCAAGTACTTCTTGGTTTCAACATGAAATTACTATGTAGACACACAAGGACCTGGCAAAACTTAAATATGGGGAATGATGCTTAAAGAAATGAATAGGACTTGAAGATGCTGATCTTTGGCCATGTTGTATTCACATTCTCCCTTTCATAATTCAGTTGAACTTGTCTCCTGGGGAACTTTGGCTTTTCAAATATTGAAATGAAATTACTTTTATTTATCACTGAAGAACTGGGCAAATGCAGCAATTGAAGGAAAACTAAAACAAAAATAGAAAAGGTGGACGTCTGTGAACAGACAATTCCCATCATGGCACTGCATTGTTTGGCACAGTAAAATAACTTTAAGAGCAGAAAAAACAGTGTAAGGAAACCCTAAAATGCCCAGTAATACTGCCAAGAATCCCTGTGGAAATCCAGTGGCCCATAATTAAAGGAGGAGGCTTAGGTCACACTGGGGCCCTACACCCTCATCTTTAAGGGCACAGGATAATGAATTGCCACTTCAAATTGGCATCCCCTAATCACAAGTTTACAATGTTTTACAACTTTTTAAAAGCTCATATAACTTTTCCCCCTGTTTCTCTTTCAGCTTCTGCCAGCAATATTTTAGTATCTATTGCAAAATGTCTTGGGCATGGCTGCAAAGTTTCCTGACTTTGAATGATGTGCTGTCTGAATGTCATTACCCTAAAAAATGATTCAGTGAAACAGGAAAAGTACATACAATCTAGTAATTAATATATCATTGCTTCAGAATCCATGGGTGTTGGCTAGGGATTAAGAAAAACACTGATTGACGGAAATGTACATGAGACAGTGAGATAGTTGTATTACTGTGAGCAGCCTTGTGCCCACATTATATGGAGACAAACAGGAATGATAAAATCACAAACCTTTTAAATTCATAGCACAAAACAAGCAACTTTCCAATTCAATGTCAAAGCCATTCAACTGAGGCCAAACTAGACGATGCGTGACAGGAATTGGTTCAGGGGTTCCCCAGCCTGACTTTTAGTCATACATAATATCATGGAAAATGGGGTTGCACTTACCTGTAACCACTGTTCATCGAGTGGTCTTCTGTGCAGGCACACATGGGACTGCACAGTCATAGGCCAGCTGAGGGAAGAGCTACCAAGCTTTTCTTAGATTTTTCTAGAGCCTAAGATTTCCCCCCCTCCCCTCCACTCACAGTGTATCCTTTTTCCCACCCAAAGGATCACGTGATGGAGGCAGGGTGAGCACTCTTCCCTCAGTTCCCTCTTTGCTGCCATGAGGAGCTAGAGACCATAGCAGGTCAGCCCATGGCGGGGAAAGGAAGGAGGGTTGTGTGCTTGCACAGAAGACCACTTGATGAACAACAGTTACAGGTCAATGCAACCCCATTTTCATTGTCGTGGCTTCTGTGCAGCCCCACATGAGAGAATAGCAAGCTTACTTATACCAAGGAGGCAGCTGTGGGCTGATAAGCAGAAGATAGATTGTAGGGCCACTTGTTCAACAGCTGCCTCATTCTGAGCATCCACATTCATAAAATAATGATGAATAAGCGCGGAAGGTAGCCGCTTTGCAGACATTGTTGAGGGACAGCTGGGACAGGAAAGCTGCTAACGAGGCTTTTGCTGTAGTAGAATGGGCCTTCAGTTCGATAGGATAAGGCAAACAGGCTTCACTATATAATGTTTTGATAGTGGCTACTAACCACCTAGACACTGATTGGGATGTTGCTGCTTTCCCCTTATTTTTACCCTTAAAAAACCCAAAGAGCTTCCGATACTTCCTAAACTGCTTTGTTCATTTTAAATAAAAAAGGAGTGCCTGCCTGATAATGTGTGTAGTGTTTGTTCAGCAGTGGAGGTCGGGCGTGGGGGAAAAAACCCTGGAAAGACTATATCCTGATTGATATGAAACCTACAGACCACTTTGGGCAAAAAATCTAGACTGGGCCTTAACACCTCCTTGTCTGCATGGAATTTGGTAAAAGGTGAGTTGCATCTTAATGCACTCAGGTCCCCCATCATATGTGTGGAAGTGACCACTACTAAGAAAACAGTCTTGTAAGAAAGGAATGACAAGTCAGACTTTGCCATGGGTTTGAAAGGTTTATACATCGACTTAGAACGGAGAAAGACAGGACTTCTCCCAGTTAATGAAGAAACCCAGCTCCTGAATGGTGTAGGGTGCAATTTGTAGATCATGTTCTAAACTGTCTTTGGAGTTTGTTAGTAACAGCCAGTCATCGAGCTAGGGGTAGATGGTGCAACCTCTCAACCTAAGATGTGTCATAACCACCAAAATACACTTAGTGACCACCCTGGGTGTGGTGGCCAGTCCAAAAGGTAGGACCTTATATTTGTAAGGCCTCATCCTTATAAATGAACCTGAGGCATTTTCTACAAGCTTTATTGATTGCTATATGAAAATAGGTATCCTTCAGATCGAAGACTGAAAACCATAAACCTCATTCTAATAGAGGTAAGTTCTCCTGCAGGGAGAACATGCGGAACTTACAAACATGTACATGTTTGTTTAGGTCAAGGATAGGTCTTTTCCCACCTCCCTTGTCAACAGCAAAGAACCTAGAAAAGAAACCCGACCCCTTAGCACATGGAGACAGTTTAGTAATAGCTCCCTTGGACAGAAGGGAGGAGACCTCCTGCGATAGAAATGAGGAGGGTGCTGAGAGTCCCTGTGGGGTGAAGTGGAGGCATGGAAGCAAACTCCATGAAGTAATCCTTTTCTTTATTACCGATGGAATCCAAGAATCATCTGTGATAATAATCCAAACATTTATGAAAGTGGACAACCAGTCCAAAAAGAAAATTTCCCATATCAGTCAAGCAGACAAAGACACTCTTGGGTGTTGCTCCCTTGGAGATTGTGAGGGATGCTTTCCCTTTCGCTGGGGGGGGGCTTTCTACTATCAGTATGCTGGGTGTAGAAAGATCTATAGGGTTGCTGAGGGTTTTGAGGGGCCTGAAATCTATAGTCAGAGAATCTGTATGAACTAGAGTGTCTTGGGAAGTACCACTGCTTATAGGGCTGAGTAGCTGTTGAAGTAATGCCAAGTGATTTTGCGGTGAGTTTGTTTTTGCAGCTGTGATCTAGCATATCATCCATCCACTCACTGGACACCTCTTGACTTTCGAATGGAAGCTCCTCGATCTTGGCCCTAGTGCCTTGGGGGAGTGCAGAAGATCTAAGCCAGGAATGCATCCTGAGAATGATACCAGAGGCCAGGGCTTTTCTTCTTCTTTTTTCTTTTGGAAAAAGAGGTGCCAGAACTCTCAAGAGGGAAATGAAGTTTTCAATCTGTATACTGAAAACTCATGAACTTTTAAAGATTTAAAAAAGAATTTTGTTGAAGAGGTTCTGGAACTCTGTTCTGCCGTGTTCCCCCAGAAAAAAAGCCCTGCCTGAGGCCATAACTCTGTTGTGACAGTCAGCCACATGCCTAGCCACATTCAATTGTTGCTTCCCTAACTTCTGACCCTCTATGACCAACACCTTGGCAAGAGGTTTTTTTTTTATCATCAGGGAGCAGATCAACAAACTGAACCATACAGTCCCAAAACAACATTTTGTATCACCCTATGGCAACAGTAAAATTTGTAACGTGAAGCTCCATTGCATCCAATGAGTAAACTTTGGGCCCTAAATAGTCCAGCTGGTGACCTTCTTTGTCCAAAGAATGGGATCCTGCTCTACCTCTGGCAGGTAAGACTTCTGAGATCAGAGAATTTGCTTGCGGAGGTTGGAAGAGATATGCTCAGGTGTTCTCTCTGACTATATATAAATTCTCCAGCTTTTTTGCAGAACCTGCAGCAGAGGCCAGTTTATACCAAATATAGCAATATCTTGAATGCCTTGAAGCATGGGTAAGGCAATAGGTCCAGAGTCTGGAGAGTATAAAACTTTCATAATGGAGTTGCTGGGCTGGGATTCTGAAGACATGTATTCCAAACCTAAGGACTTGGCCATGCGGATTAACTGTTTGGAGTACAGTTCTAAGTCCTCTGTCGGGGATGGTGCTGAGGATTTGTCCATTGTATCATCAGGTGAAGGCATGGAGGTGTTCTCCAATTCAGATTCTGATCCTAGATCCATTCCCTCTTCAGGATCAGACATGAGGGGTGAAGCTGTGTCACTCACTCAAAGATGCCTAGTTGTATGCTTTCCGTTGTTCCTTCCCTGACCTTGTAGCTGAACAGTAGGATGTGGGAAGAGAGTACAATGACCCTGCTGGTCCCATGAGCCCCCTTGAGGTGGGAATATCATAGGGAAGGGGAACCAGAAGGACTGCTGGGAAGATTGATGAGGAGTTGTGGTTCTTGATGCCTTGGAGGCTCTGTTTGATGTGGAGGGACCTCAAAAATGTCACCATTGGATGGAACTGGGAATCAATGTTGTTGTCCCAATGGTGATGGTGTTCTCAGAATCGGAGAGAGACGCACTACTTGAAGTAGAAAAGGTCAGCACCGAGGTGATTCTGAGCATTAATCGGCTAGTATCAAGGCTGGGCTCCAAGGTGAATCTGTGACCCGATGTCAAGGGGAAGATTCCACCTCAGTTGGAGGTGATAGTGAACTCCGATACAAAGGGGACGGAGTCTTTCAATGCCAAGGCAAGGAAGGTTGGTGTTGCGGCAAAGGCAACCGACACTCTTGGTGTTTAGGCTTCTTCAACTTCTTCGATGGTGGCTCCAATACCAAACAAGTAAGCATTGGCGACTTCGTTGGTACCAAGGCTGACCAGGTCGGTGCCGATGCTATGGATGAGGCTTTTTTTTTCAGTCTGTGTCTGTTTTTCCACTTGGGGGCCTAGGAAACCCAAAACCTTCTCCCACGAGGCAGCCTTAAGCCTAGCTGCCCTCCCATCTCTTGCTTTTGGTGTCAAATGGCAGCAGGCTGGGAATATGGCTGTATTGTGCCCTTCTCCAAAATAAAGTAGACATGACCTATGGTTGTTGTTCTAGGCCATTTTGGCCCTGCATGCCTCACATTTTTTAAATAAAGCCATTGTGCCCTTCCGTACTCACAAAAGTTAGAAGAACGGACACGATAAAGGCTCGTGCTCTCCTCATGATGGCAAGGAAAGAACTGCGGGAAGAGTACTCAGCCTACCTCCATCATGTGATCCTTTGGGTGGGTGGGAAAAAGGATATACTGTGCGTGGAGGAAAGAGGGAGCATTCTTAGGTGCTAGAAAAAAATTAGGAAAAGCTTGGTAGCTCTTCCTGTGGCTGGACTGTGACTGCGCAGTCCCATGTGGGACTGAAGAGAAGCCACAACAATGAACTAATGTTCTCAAGTGCTCTCAGACCCAATTCAGCTCAGGAGTGTAGCACATGGGAAGGACGGCCTTCACCCTTCCTTCCTCAGCTGTTTTCCTGAGCCAAAGCAACCATGGGGGATCCTGTTTATCCAGGTTTGGGTTACTATAAGCTTTAGTTGATATACAAGGAACCCCACAGCAGGGCAAACAGGCTCCCCGTGGCTGTTTCAGCTGGGGAGCAGGGTCAGGAGGGAAGGCTCCTCCTCCAGTGCTACATTCTCAAGTTGAATCCAGTCTCAGAGTGCTTGGGAACATTAGTTCTCTGATACTATGTTGATTCATGCCACAAGTATTGTCTTATTTGGTCCCAGGATTCAGCAATACCTATCCTGTTAGTATTCCCCTTCTTTCTAAACATATGATGCTGGCAATTTAGAGCAATAAGATAACTAAAAGATCTGTATTAAACTGAATTTGGTGAAAGATGTTCTGTTGTATTACACGGCTTGTACTTTTTAATGTCAAAGACATGTGCATGAAATATGCCTTTTCTTCAGGAACCAAGGAATAATTATAGAATAGAAGGGGAGCTGTAGAAAAATAGGTTTAAAATTTGCATTTTTACTAATATAATTAAAAATCCAACATTTAACTTGTGAAATACCCAAAAAGCTATAAGATCCAGATAACTACTTGGAGAAGAACAAAAGATAAGCACCCATACCAGACTGTACCAAAGTGCAATCAAATGAAATAAGCAAGAAATTGTAGATTTCCAAGTATAAGAAAAACTCTTTGTGAGGAATTCATGGTGGAAGAAGGAAAAAGCAAGAAATACCCACAAGAGATGACTTGTGCTGAAACTTGGGGGACCACAAGCACTTGCTAAGCAATTCAGAGAAAGGGTGGCCATCTCCTTACTAGTGGTGGAGACAAGGGAGAGGAATCAGGGCCATTTATACATGGGCTTCCAGTGACTAGTATTGCCTACTGATGCCACCAATCTACAGTACACCTGAATGGTGCTGTCCCAGCCCATTCTCTTATGGTGCTTACTAGTACAATCAAATCATTCATTTCTTGGCAATAGCCCTTTTTTGCCCTCTGCCCTATCTTACCAGGCAACATGGATTATCATCCCCATTTCATCCAGGCAGGTATTTGCTTATTTTATTTATTTTTATTTATGTTATTTATAATCCTCCTTTCTTACTGGGACTCGAGGCAGATTACACAGAGTGAGTCAATAAGAGTGAGTCAATACAATCAACAAGTTGGGACAATCAATAGACAATAAAAGACAGTTTGGGTATTAGCTCCAACTGGAAGTCTAAAAAACAGAACTGAAACAAAATACAAGTGTTAATTTGACACATTGGTGGTGGAAAGTGCCATCAAGTCACGCCAGACTTATGGCAACCCTGTAGGGCTTTCAAGGAAAGAGAATTCAGAGGTAGGTCGCAATTGCCTGCCTCTGCGTCATGCTCCTGGTATTCCTTGGAAGTCTCCCTGCTTAGCTTCCAAGATCTGATGAGATTGGGCTAGCCTGAGCTATCCAGGTCAGGGCATAACACATTAAATGATGCAAAATTATACAATGGGAGTCAACCTGTCACAATCTCTGACATATGAACTGGGTAGTATAAAGAAATGAATGGTTCTAATTGTGGAATTTTATGGTTGCTGCTAACTTAGATAATTCATAGTAGCACAGTATGTCAATGATGACTAATCTTCTACTTCAGGGGTCTCCAATATTTTTAAGCATGTGGGCACCTTTGGAATTTTGACACAGAGCAGTCGGCACAATCACAAAATGGCTGCCATGGGAAGTGGAGCCCATCACAAAATGGTTGCTTCAGGAGGACCACAAAATGTCAAGGAATGAGGTTATACATAACTCTGATAGTAAAATTGTAAACATATAAAGCAGAAGCTCTTTTAACAAAATGCCTTTTAATCTACACAGCCAATCAGAAGCCCTGCTGGGCAAATGCCTCACCTAGCTCCTCCCACTTTCTAAAACACTTGGCAGGTACCAGAAAAGGTATTGGCTGACAGTATGGCAATTGGGGACCCCTGTCCTACTTCATCTGGATGAGACTGTGACCAATAACTAAATCAGTATTATCCAGGCTGTACTAAAATGTAAAGGCCATGATCCAAAAGAGACTTAAACACAGGTAATTCGGTGTTGGACTATAACCAAAGCATGCAATTAGCCATGGCTTGAGGTGGATGTGTAAAATTTATTAATGGTCTAACTATTAGTTTCGGCTGGTGAACTGTATCTTATCGTTTGTGGACACTTTGAGAACCTCTTTGGATGACAACAACCACTAAAATGCCAAAACACTTGGTTATGAAGATCCATAATATACAAAAGTTTTGACTGAGTACCCAGCCAAATTTTGTTCATTCCAGTAACATTTAATCATTGGAAGTATGCTGAAGGAGCTAAATTTATGATAAAATGTTTTGTATTTTCCTAATTGCTTGCATTTTGTCAGGTCGTCAGATGTTATTTTTCCTTACTCTGAAACTTTGCAAACATTATTCTTGAGAACTCTCCAGATTCAAAAGCCAAAACATTTCTCACCTAGGGGGAAAAAAATAACCAACCCAAAGTACTGATTATCCAGCATATGTTGCTATGAGAGAATGGAACACCTGCATTAGGTCTGTGTTCTTAATAAGTACATGGAATTTTCCAGCCAGCCAGCTGTCCAACAAAATCGAAGAGCAAAAAAATGTGCTCATAACTGACAGATCATTATGGTGCTAAAAGGCAATGCAGAGCGTGAATAACCCTGAATATCCCTGAAACACAAAGAATCACCTCTTGAGTTCATGCCAATATCTTAGTCAAATTCATGTCAAGATAGTACATGCTTAGAAACTTCCATCAGTAGCCCTTCTGCAACAGTCTCCAGTTATTCCTCTTAATCCTTTGAATTGATCTGTTATTCATTTATAAGACTCACAAATATAAATTCCTGTTCATAGTAAACAAGGCTGGATGGTGTTATACCATTTTCTTAACACCACACTGCTTCTGAAATGGTTCAGTTAATGACTGGAGTGATTAAAAGAAATAAGTCCTCCCAAAATTTGCACACACAGATATTCACCAACCCTTTCTCAGTATTACAGTCTAGATTTTGATACCATTTTCTTACTGTGTTACCTTGTATTAGGTTTCAAGTTCTCCACAGTAGAATGGGTTTGATTTGTAGTGATAATGGACTTGTCTTTTTCATCATTGGCTCCATTTTCGGTTGAAACAACTTTATATTCTGAAATCAAGAACGAAATTTGACCAGTCATCTTCTTTCTTTCACTTGCTGATTGACTCTTTTGTCTAGCCACCAATAATGCTTTTATTTTAAACCAGTTAAAATATGGGGTAAATCAAGTTTTTTTGTCAAACTGGAATATTCTGACCATTGGCTTCAGCAGAAACAATAGACACTTTGCATGCATTTTCAATGTGCAGGAATGTCCAATGAACATCCTGTTTAGTACTGGATATGCCAACAGAGGGAATATTTGCAATGGTATCACTTTAAAAAAATCACACTCACAGACGTACTTGATCCTTGCAACTGCAGGACTGCTCAGTCAACATTACTTCAAACTGTTGTACAGTCAGGGCTTCGCACAGTCAGTCAAACAGCACAGATGGAGCTGAGCTTTCTGTGAAATGGTAATATGGTGCCAGCTATACCAGAGAGCTCTAAAGTTTCTTTACTGTATTCCTGGTGTTAATGCTGTTGCTAACAAATAGGCTGAGAAATGTGAGGCCAATACTGACCACCATCTAACATGGTGGTCATACAGCACAGACACAGGTCTATTACTTGGATTCTGTCTGGTGTCAAGACCCACCCCAGATTTGCAGGGGTAACTCACCTTGGCTGAGACAAGCCATCTGCAGCTGGCTGGCCAGTATGCTCCTGGAACAGGTAAGGTGGGGCTACAGAATTTGGGTTCAGTAATCAAGTTTGGCAGCCAGGTGGGGCCAGTCACATCATCAAGCTCTGCCTGGGGCAGGGAGCAAGCTAGAAGGTAGCTGCAGCTGAGACAGGGCTTCAGGATGCTTCTGGTTGGGAGTGAGCCAGGGGAGGGGACTGGAAGAGTGGCCAATTTAAGGAGAATCAATGGCAGGCCAGGGAGGATGGGGTATCCTTGCTGAGGCAGTGTGGAAGAGCAGAGAGTACAGAAAATAGAAATAAGGTGGTGCAAGCACCTCCCATCTACAGTCAAAGGACTTGCAGATTCTCTGCTGTAGGGAAGGCCATGGCAGAGCAAGGGGGGAAGCCCTGTAGTCGATAAGTGTGTATGTGTATTCTGTCTCTAGAGCTGTCTAACCAGCAGAGGTCATTTAAGGGGGATCGCGGGGGATCGCAGTTCCCCCGGGTGAGGTATGGGGGGGTGGGGCACATGACGAAGCCCCGCCCCTGCTTCCGGCAGCCCCGCTTCCGGCCCTCATTCAGCCAGGAGGAGGCAGGAGAAGAGGGAGGGTAAGTTGCTTCCGCCCTGCTTCTCCCCACCCCTGCCTGCCTGGGGCCAGGGAGGGCCTTCGCGGGGCTTCCTTGCACTCCCGCCAGCCTTGCAGGTCCACCGCCGGGCCCCTCATGGGGCTCGGCAGTGGAGCTGCAAGGCCGGCGGCGGCGGCCGGGACCGTTGGGGGTGGGGTGTGTGGCCTTATGACACACTTCCGGTGATGTCAGGGGGTGTGGCCTTATGACACACTTCCGGTGATGTCAGGGGGTGTGGCATATGCTAATGAGTTATGCTAATGAGTTCCCCTAGCTCTTTTTCTACGAAACGACCCCTGCTAACCAGCAATGTTTCGTCTTCACATTTTGCTACTTAAACAAGGCATGTGCTTGTATGCTCTTTGCTCCTTCATTTCCTTGTACAACTAGTGACTTTGCTTCAGCACAAACCCACTCTTGCTATTATAACTAAATTAGAAAAAAATATGATTTGCACTTTTCTTCCAAACCATAGTATGATCCTGCATTGCAACCTTATTTTTCAGGGCAAGAGGAAACCATAGCTTTGGATACGATGGCAAACAGTAGAAAGCTTTAATTAACTCTGACTGTGTAGGGGAGATGGGAAAGAGCATGGAAGCACATGGTTTGTCCACACAGTTTATATAGTGTATACAGCACTAAGCCATGGTTTGGCATCATCTCCTAAATGTGCCATTATGTAATCCTTGAAAGCAACATATAGTAAAAAGAAACCTGACTTTAAAAATATGGTCTTAACTTAAGAGTCAAATTAGATGTGACAGAATCTTTGTGGCCACTATAAGGACATTGCCACAATTTAAAAGTCATTTTAAAATGGCACAAGGCCCAATCCAGGTTGGACCCAGGGCCGGCTCACTCACTAGGTGAACTATGCGATCGCCTAGAGCAAGGACAGCCCTTAGGGGGCACCAAACTGAACCTGGCCCCATACTCTGGGAGTTTCTTGATTATTTGTGTTTTTCATTCTTCCTAAAATGCATTTATTTTTGAAAATTGGTGGGCGCACCGGGGGGGGGGGGGGTTGCCAGAAGGGATCCTTGCCTAGGGTGCAAAATAAGCTGGGGCCGGCCCTTGTTGGACCCACAATGCAGTGGGCTGACTGGTTGTATACACCGTCTTTTAAAGCTTGAATAATCAGGAGTCATTGAAAGATGACCTTCTCAGGGATACAGAGATATTCTCTTGAATCACCCTGTCAGTTAAACAAGGTGAGGAATAACTAATGTAAAAAAAGGGCAGGCAAATGCTCAAGTACATCAGAAAGGAGATCTAGAACAATTTTAGGGAGTACACGTCGAGGCACTGCTCCATAACTCACTTCTCAAAGAGAAAACAAGTTCTTGAACTACAGATTAGAACACATGTCCCCCTACAGTCCTGAAAACCCTGGCTTTCTTGCTCACTGATAAGGATCCTAAGATCGCTCTAGCAACTGCAAAATTTGTCTCAGTCCTTCTAGCCCTCACATCCAAAAAATGAAAAATAAGTATTTTCTGCTACTCAAGATATGTGAATCAATGAGCTTCTAAAGGTATAAAAGGAAAGGAAAGAACATGCTTGAAATACTACGAGTCCTACTAGTACTACCCATCTCACCAATTAAGATATCAAGCCTGCTTTCTGTGCGCCTGCCTTCAGGGATGAGATGGGCAGTGACTAGACACAAGGCATTTTCTTTGATGGCATCCTGTCCTGGAACGCTGTCCCCCTTAAGGTTCACCTGGTACCTTCTTTACATTCTTTTAGGTGCCAGGCCAAAACACATCTTTTTACACAGACTTTTAATTGGGGATTTTAAATGGCCTGCTTCTGTTTTAAGGATAGTTTTAATGCTGGTTTTTATGTCCAATGATTTGTTTTGATATAGGTATATTGTTTAAATTGTAAGCTACCTCAAGCTTTGTTTAAAGGTGAAGAGGTGGCATAGAAAGATCCTAAATAAATAAATAACATCAATAATGTTCTTAGATGTATGAAAGATCCATAATGTTGAACCAGCCATTATTACATAGATAGTGCTCATGGCCAAGACTCGTATCATTAACACATTAAGGCCCTATACACATGTATTGAGAATAAACCTCATCAGACATAGTAGTACTTAGTCCCCTAGATATCTGAGAACAGCTGCACAGGGACTGGGCTGAAAGACCACATGTTTATTTTGGCACCACTGAATGCAGTGGGGCATTTCCAAGTAGGAAATATCAGGCAATAATTCGACAAATACCTACAAAAGGTAGAAGAGTACTGTGGTGTGGATACAGCAAATTGTGACTTTTGAGTCTTTTGGGAAAGCTTCTTGTTTTGAATGGCTTCGATATCTCTCTAATCTACACAATTTTGCAAGTGGCAGATAAATCAGAATAGCTAATAGGAATAATGTGTTATAGGAATAACAAACAGAAATGAAACATCAATAGAAATGAAACTGAATATCATCGCATTCAAGCTAACATTGTAAGAAGACACAAGACAAACTAACCTGTAAGAAATTTCAGAACACTTTTAATATTATTGTCTTGGCCCTGTTCAAAAATGTCTTTGATAAATGAATTGAAGAGAGATAAAAGTGAGCATCATATTCAAATTCAAAGAAGGCAACAGTCTAACCTGTAACTGTGTCATTTTGTGGTTTTTCCCAATCCAGTACAACAAATGATGGACAGCCCTCAACAGTCACCACAGTGAGGTTGGTAGGAGGATTTCGTGGAGGGCTGGAGGCCTCTTTGTTGTCGCCTTCTTCTTTAGGAAAAAGCTGGAGAGTATCTGTGATGGAACATGGAACATCTTCGTCCTTTTTCACGTACTTCACATGATCACCTGGAAGGAAAACATCCATATTTAAAAAGAAGATGAGGTGGTAAACCTGTGTCTAACATGTGCCTCGGCTGAGGGTTCCTATGGGGGAATGTTTCTGATATTGGAAACATTTTGATGCTTAGAAAACTAGGCTAGAATCTAGATGTCTAGTTTTATATGCAGGTCTTCTGCAATGTACAAGCTCTGTCACAGGCATCTTCATCTGCCATCTGAAGTTTACCATCTCATCTGCTGTTTGTGAGGCTAAACCATAGTGTTATAGAACTCTACAATCCTTGAGAGATGGGCACATGTAGGAAAGTACCAGGTCAGAGCACTTGCTTAACAAACTGTGGCTAAACTTTAAAAGATTCAAGGTAAAGCAATGCAGAGGAAACATGTCAGACATTGTGGCTCTCTGCCTTTATATTATTATACCATTCTTTGCTTTATTATTTTTATATTATTTAGTAGTTCCTAACAACAGAGCAGTATACTTAGAAAGGAACTTTGTTATCTCTGTCTCTTCCCAGTGGAGTCTACTGAACATTCCTGAGGACTGACAATATTAAGAATGGGATTTGATGTGAAAGACTGCCCCTGGAAAGGGGCAGATATCCCTCTGCACACCACTGCCTAAGTTCTTCCCTGAGCACAGCAAGACCTTGCACAAGAAGGAGTTATTTCCCCCTCCAACTGGGGTTAGACGGATCAATGGACAGAAAAATATATGTGCTGATACAGGTTCCTTCAGTATCAGCTCTTTTAGACGTACCTTTAAATCTTGGTTTGCCTGCTATATCAGTCTCAGATGTAGGCTGTGAGCTGAACACAGTTGTGTTACCTAAGGGGAAGAAAGCCACAGGAAAACATTTCAAATAGTTCATATTTCATTGGCATGTGAATCTCTAGCAGTTTCTTAAAAGTCTCTTCTTGGTAGATGCTTGGAGTTACGTTAGCTTTTTCTTAAGAAAGAGATGATTTGGCTGTGATGGAAACTATAAAGCTATTGGAGATGCCAAAATAAAGATAATCATAACCCAAATGACTGAGCTCACTATTGCTGTTGGAGATGTTTCATGTATAATAAACAAAATCCTCGTTAAAAGTCTAAAAAGATTTGTTTTGTGTTTCACTTACACTACAGCCATTTCACTCATTGTCTATCTCTCCTCAGGGAGCCCACTGGTCTTGTACTTTGCAACATTTAAAAAATGTTGGCAAACCAGATCATCTTTTTATAGCATGCCATATCCCATTAATAGTCAGGGAAAGTTATGCGTACACAAGCTGCAAGCCAATGCAAACATGCCAAGCAAAATTAGTACCAATGAATGTCTTCTGCAAACACCAATAGTAATAACTTTAGTGGACCAGACTGTGAAATTAGGACCCACTATACATGATGCAGAAGTTTTATGATTTGCTTTGCAAGTTCTAGCCATAGAAATTATGAGTGATGGCAAATATTGTGCCTATTCATCTCTCCCTAGAAGATACTGCCACTTCATCCCACCCTTCAACCAAGGTGGTGAGGAAGGGTGGGGTTTGCAGGCAGCCCCTGCAGATGGGGAGGCATGTACCACTCCAGACATGGGTGAACAGAGATGCACCAGCAATGAGGGGACAGGGAACAAGTGAGGGCTCTTCAAGAACCACTGGGTCTGCTTTGCCTTCTTTGTCCCTTCAGCCATGATACCAAACCTTGTGCCTGTTTAGTTCCCAAAAGAAGAGACTTGAACTGTGCCAGTATTCCTATTGGGAATATATTTGAGTTGCCAATTAAATATGAAAACAGATGGAATATAAATTTTAGACCTCACTGTGCAAACAATGCTGGCTCAGCTATCAGCCTTGCATCTCCCCTCATGCTCTGCCCTTTTTATTTTTATAAGCATGAACTATTATAATTTTTCATGAAATACTTTATCAACTAAAATATTGTTTTGTTTTATCATTATTGTCCCTTGCTTTATTAATAAAAACGGATTGGTAAAAAAGAAGAAGACGACGAGGAGATTGGATTTATACCCCGCCCTTCATTACCCAAGGGAGTCTCAGAGCGGCTTACAAACTCCTTTCCCTTCCTCTCCCCACAACAGACACCCTGTGAGGTAGGTGAGACTGAGAGAGCTCTGACAGAAACTGCTCTTTTTCAAGAACAGCTGTACCAGAACTATGGCTTGCCCAAGGTCATCCAGCAGGTGCAAGTGGAGGAGTGGGGAATCAAACCCGGTTCTCCCAGATTACAGTCCGTTCACTTAACCACTACACCAAACTCACTCTACTCCAAATTTGCTCTACACTACACCAAAATTGCAAAACTGCTCTAGGGATTGAACATATGTGTGAATACAAGAAACATCACAGGTACTACTTATGTGGTACTGTGCATAGCCAGCTTCTATATAAAAATTGTAGAGCTTCCCCCCCCAGAATTTGACTACTGGGGATATACCTTTTAAACTGACTGTGATACTGCTGCTTTAAACTTCCACTGATCTATATTTGTTGTTTGTTTGAAATATTTATATTCACACTCCAAATAAAATACTTCCAAGATAACTTACAACATCCATGAAACCATAAGGCTAAAAATCAGAATGAGTATCATCAAAATAAATAAAGAAGAAAAATAAATAAATAAAAAATAAATAAAAACAGCATTAAGGTCAATATTATATATGACGATAAAAGACATTAAAAATACTAAATGCAGAAAAACTCAGAAATATAGCAGTACAAACCCAGTAGAATTAAATATAAGGTAGTGCTATAGTTTAAAACCCACAATAAAGCTAGCAGAACTAGCAAAATTAAAACCAGGCAGGTAAAACAGTAAAAAGCTTGGGTACAATCAAAATGTCTCTCCCCCCCATTACAAATATTTAAATCTTCATTCATCTGTGAGCTCTCTGCATTGGCTAATACCCACACCCACAGGCACAATCGTACCCTGCTTATTGAGCCTATCCTCTTCCATACTTTATGCCCACCATCTGAAAAGGCATTATCACTGGATGGGATTCTGGAGACTGGCACAAAATGAGTGAGCAAAAGCTCTGCTGATACTTGGAATGATGGGATGTCACCACTACAGCCATTGGCACTACTAGAATCTTAAACTATGGGTTGGACTGACAGTTTTTATATCATAAAAAAGCCCCAAATATGTAACTAAAATTCTTACTGTAATCTGGAGAAGAAGAAGCTGTAGGAGGCTTTTTAGGTGAGCCTGTTCTCACAAGGGTCGTTGGTCTCATAGGTTTTGCAACAGAAGATGCTGTGGCAAGTGGCGGGGCTCGTGGCATCAACATATTTCCTTTTTGGGGGGAAAAGGTGAATCTGATGATTTGAGTCGGAATTAATTTACCTTAAAATCTAACTAAAATGTTCTATAGGTCATAGAAAAGCTTCAGTTTCTTAAGAACGCCACCCTCCCGGGATTAATTTTAGAAATATACATGCATTCTGAGATGAGCATTAATCATTTCTTCTCTCTCAGTGGTTAAGGAAGAATTTACTTAATCAAGCAGTTTCTATGTATCTCACCTGTATGCTACTTTCTAGTTTTTTCTCTTGGTTGACTTCTGTTGTAAGCCATGGGATGAAAGGTTTAAACACAAATATCCTGATCTACCTCTACACATCAGCAGGATTTTGCACTTCTATCACTTGCTGGATCAGGGACTGCAGGCATAACTTGGACATGCATCCAAACATGTAGTGGAATGTGCATTTCATTGTGCCTAAAATCTATGTATGGGATAATGTGTACTTGAATTCATATCTCCCCCTTGCCAGTGCAACTAGTCACACAAAATACCTTTTTAAAAGCACATCTAAAGTAAGGTGGGGGCACATAAGAAACCTATCTTCCTTTCTTAATATAATTTCATATTTTGTGAATTTGCATAATCAAATATAAGAGATAAATTATAAACTGTTATATCTCATTGTAACACAATGAGCCTTGTGGAAGGTTGGAAGGTACTTCTCTGGATACAAACCTCATTCTTTTAGCAAATCTGAATGAGGTTAAATGCCATTTGATGTTACAGGTACCTTTTTGCATTGTAAAAGTAATGTATATTGTAATGAAAAGTTGGTTGATATGTTTCATTATTAAGGATGGACAGTGTGATTCTATGACTGTTCATTCCTAGCTGTAAAAATGCAGGTGTTGGTGGTAAGCCTATCAGCATGCACGATTACTCTCTCAATTTTTCCTCCCTTACAATGAATTATTACATCAAGCTCTGAAATCCTTTTCCTTAATAGGAGCGTGAAAGCTTCTGCTATAAATTCTCCCTTTTCTCACCATGAAATATTCACTCCTACTATGTATGTAAACTGAGTTCTGTGTTTAGAAAAAGAGGAAGTATATCTACAAAACTTATATGTAGCAATTTTATTGATTAAATTTGTGAAATATAATCCAAAGAAAAATACTTTGGAAAATATTTTGGCATGCTCTATTATTTTAATACAAGTTTTGTGGAACAGCATTTATCCAATTCCCTTCATTAGCCAAGGCTGCCTCAAGAACCCTTTTTTTTAATTAGAACTGCTTTTTTATTAGAAAGTGCTTCTCTATGATGACATCCCACTGCATACTATACTATCTCTCCTTATATATAATTCTCTTTCGGTGTGAACGTTCCACACGCTCCCACAGTATTTGGCTCACTCAGCTACCACTGGGAAGGTCTGCCAATCCCCTGACTGCATTGCCTCGCTGCGTTGCCTCAGTCCTGCCCACAGAGCCAGCTCCCAGCGTCTCAGCCTCACTTCTCTTGGCTCCTGTGTGGGACTAACTCTCCCCTCAGTGGCTGTTGGTAGGCAACCAAGCTTGCTTCTGTCAGTAAAAAGACAAAGGACTTTCAGCATAACCCCCTCTACCGCCCACTGCCAGCTTGGCTACTTTCCTGTCAGAATAAACTGAAAACGGCTCTCTCTCATTTTTGGCTCCACCATGGCTGGCTGGCTAATGAGGGGGCCCAGCGACCATCACACCATTCTCTTCAACCCTCTGCTTTTTGGCTGACTTTCCCCTAGGGTTGCCAGTCTCCAGGCGGAACTGGAGATCTCCCACTGTTACAGTTGATCTCTAGATGACAGTTCCCCTGGAGAAAATGGCTACTTTGGAGGGTAGACCCTATGGCATTATACCCTGCTGAGTCCTCCCACCCCCCAAAAAAATGCTGCCCTCCACCCCCCAAATCTCCAGGTATTTCCCTAATCAATGCTGGCAACTGTACTTTCTCCTCAGTGCCTGTTGCTAGGCAACCAAGCTTGGTTCTGTGAGTAAAGGGCCCTTTCCACACCTATGCTGGCCTTTGGGAGAAAACTCATTGGGGCCAGTCCTAATAGGGTTGCCAACTCCAGGTGGGAAATTCCTAGAGATTTGAGGGATGGAGCCTGGAGAGAGTGAGGCTTGAGGAGGGGTGGGACCTCAGATAGGTGCAATGCCATAGACTCCACCCTCCAAACTAGCCATTCCCTCCCAGGGAACCACTGTTGCCAATCTCCAGGTGAGGGATGGAGATCACTCAAAATTACAACTGCTTTTCAGGTAGCAGAGATCAGTTCCTCTGGAGAAAATGGTGGACTTTGTGTCATTATACCCTGCTGAGGTCACCACAGCAAATTGTCACTGAGTGCCCAAAGCCAGGGCACTCTCCCAGAGCCTCTTTCTAGAGCTCATTGTATTTATTTTCACAACAGGCCTTATTCCTAGTTAACCATAAATGTGAAGTCTCTCTCTTTCACACACAAACACACACACACACATGCACACACACACACCAGGTAGTTTGGACATCACAATATAGAAAGGTATTACATAACTTTTGCTTTCTGAATTCTACAACAGTCTTTCTCACAAGATAGTGTCCTTTTAAAAAAACGACAAAAGTTCTACAGGACTCAAGTAAGTCTTTGGGTACACCCAAAGAAACTTCTTTGGATTACGGTCATATGCTAGAAAGGAAAAATGTGTCAAGCAGTGTTTGAAAGAGTAACATACCTGAACTCCCAGGTTTACCAGTCACCGTGTTTGGAGGCAAAGGTTTTCTTCGCATTGCTGTAGGCTTGGCAGGAGCTAAGGGTGGTCGTGGAGGGTCAGGTGGTGTAGCTACTGTATAATGTTACAAGACACCACTGTTAGCGGAGGAACCGCATGCCACGTAATCAGAAAGAGAAAAATGGCTAATACACTTCTCAAGCAAAATTTTAAGGCATGAGCTTCAGCGATAAGAACTGCAAAAAGAACACAAAACACAGACAGGGAAGAGCTGAAAGGAGTTATTTTGAGCGTTTACATTTCTAGCATGAAAATGTGCATGCTTCCAGCATTAGACTAAAACAGCACAGCAAGGCAGCTAAGCCAGTTCACAAAAAGTTTGCTTCTTAGTTAAGAATAACTATTGTCTTTTTTATACAGCATGATATTGTTCAAAAATAGATTAGTGTTGGCAGAAGAGTTAGATCATTGATTTCTAATGAAGAAGTGAAAAGTGAGCACACTGTATATGTCATTTAAGCTCACAGCTGTAAAGCACAGTTCATTAGAGATCAGGCTCTGTAAGAAGGCACATAAATTTCCTTGGAGTTGCATCCTGGGGCTTGCGTCCAGTGCTTTTGAACAGGGAAGCTGAGCTTAGGAGTTCAGTGGGGGGTGTCAAGGGGGAGCCAGAGAGAACTCCTGCAGTTGGAGTTTCCATAAAAGGACAAATGAGCTCCACAGCAGCAAGGAGGGCAGAGTACCACATTATCCCCCCCCTCTATAGTAAGCTGCAAATATTCAGGTAAGTTCCCAATTTTAACCCTAAAATACCTTTGAACAACCAAACCAGTTATGAAGGCAGAAAGCCAACAGGAGAGTGGGGTATAGTCAATGTTCTGCAGGGAATGCTACACGTATGATTATCTGCCCACTTGGCAGAAATTGTAGGTGTGTGCTTGATTCATGGAGATTGTGGTTCTCAGAGAACAGATTCATTCCCTTGATGCTAGGGTTGTTGACCTGGAGAAGCTGAGGGAGAGAGAGAGATGTATGTGGGTGAGACCTTCGGGGACCTACTAGAACAGTCCCATTCCTGTGCTGACAGCTCTTCAGGGACCTACTAGAACAGTCCCATTCCTGTGCTGACAGCTCTTCTACGATCATGGAGATCAAGGGTATCAAGGTTGGAGGGCATGAGGCTGAGGAGGAGGGACATGATCCTTTAGGTCTGTGGGATGATGGACCAATATTCTCTCATTGAAGATACCTCTCTGGGGTTGGGGAGAGGTGGGCTTTTGGTAGTGGGTGATTAAATTATTAAGGAATATAAGGAGAGCAGGGTCTGTGACAGGTGCTTTGACTGCATAGTGACTTGTCTGTTTTGTGCAAAGTAGAACCACACTGTTTATATTACAGAACTTTGATTGGTACTAGAGGCAAGCTAAACCTGTACAAAAGAGTTGGGCTTCACTTGAACAAAAAAAGAACCACACTACTGGTGCTTAATATAAAAAAGTGGCAGAGCAGCTTTTAAACTAAGCACCGGGGGGGTGGGAACCAACAGGAGCTGGGGAGCCTTCAGTTTGGGACAACTCAGTCCAAAGGGTAAATAGTGTGATATAGTGTAATATGTGTAAATAGTGTAAATGCGCAGGGCAATATTGGTAGGAATTCAATAGAACTTGAGAGTGAGACTAAGATGACAAAGGAAGGTCATTGGTGGAGACAAAGGGCCCAAGGATATGAGGGTTGTTGGAGATGGCAGCATGTTATAGGTGGACACCAATATGCCAATGCTAGAAGCCTCCAAGTAACTTTTTACTCAAATTAATGAATCCGGCATTATTCCCCAATCATGGAAGCATACAATGATAGTTCCAATACATAAAAAAGGCTCAAAAACAATTCCTACTAACTATAGGCCTATAAGCCTGCTTTCAGTAATAGGCAAAGTATATGCAACGTTTTCAAATTGTAAACTACTGAACTGGATAGAAATAGAATCCATAATTCACCCTGAGCAAGCAGGATTTAGAAATGGAGTTTCAGCCTTAAACAATTGTGTAGCACTGTATCATCTTGCCGATAAATATTCTTCTTATTCAAAAGGTTCCCTTCATGCAGCATTTATGGATCTCAGGGCAGCATTTGACTCAGTCCCCAGATGCCACCTTTGGGCCAAATTGTCTAAAACATCTCTAGACAAGAGACTTCTTTGGCTGATTTATAAACTATATGAGAATCCTACTGCACAAATTCGTTGTGGAGTAGATGAACAACTTACAAATACCATTCATCTCTCTAAAGGCGTTAAGCAAGGATGTTTATTAGCCCCCCCACTTTTTAATCTTTACATAAACAATATAGTTCCATATATTAAAAAAAATAGCCTGTCACACACCCATACTAGCGGGACATGAAGTACCTATACTACTTTATGCAGACGATACAGTGCTGCTATCCAGATCAGAAGTTGGCTTACGTAAACTAGTAAACTCTTTTGCTGATTACTGTATCCAAGAGGGATTGATGATTAATTATGAAAAATCAAAAATAATGTTTTTTTTCTAACAAACCTTGTTTAAAACAAAGAATATGGAAGGTTAAGGGTGGGGAGATAGAACAAGTGTCTCATTTCAAAGATTTGGGTATAGTGTTTAGCTGCAATCGCCATTGTAAACATATAAGGGCAGCAACTGAAATTGCCAAAGCAAATTCTAATGCCCTCCTTAGGTTCTACTATTCAAGAGGTGGTCAGTATGTTCCGATGGCCATTACAGCTTTTAATGCGAAAGTTACTTCCCAATTTTTATATGGGGCTGCTATCTGGTTTTAAAGAAACCTCTGAATCTTCAGTTCCTGCGTAGAATTGCAGGAGTTCCTAAATGTGTCGTAGGGACGGCACTTAGTGTCCCTGGGAGGTCTGTCTTTTGGGTTTGGCTACCTTTGAGTCAAGAGCCTGGAAGATTGAGATTGAAAGTTCTTTATATGACACCTACCGCCCAAGGAGGGGGTCTTCTTTATTTTTTAAAGGAGGATAATTATAAATGTACATGGGCAAAACATATAGAACAAGCTGGAGTGAATTGGTCTTGCCCCTACAGCGCTTAACAATATAAACTATCAAGAAGCACTAAATATTAGTATATAATGGAAAAAATAATAAAAGTGTACCCTTGGGTACTTATATATATAAAAAGAAGCACTAAATTTGATTAGATTGAGGGCGACAAACATTGACCGACTCAGCACTTCAATTCATGCTAGGTGAGTATGCTCCAACACTGCCTTAGGGATTGTGCCACCTAAGAAAATCCCCTCATATATGAGCTTCCTTACATCCCCTAGATTTAGATATGTCTTCACGCTTGCTAGGTTGAATGTTTTTCCAACTGCAGAGCTAAGTGGCAGTTTTGCTAAAAAACAGTATTCAAATAGATTATGCGATTGTGGAGACCTTAGATCATCTTCTGTTATTTTGCCACCAGTGGATTGGCCCCAGATCCTGTTGGATTACTCCTATTTTACATAGACATCACCTCCCTATGGAACCTTGCATGATAACCATACTCCTAGCAGATGAGGACCCTGAAATGACTCACTCGGTGGCAAAATATCTATCGATAGTGCTATTTTTAAAGCAGCTTTGAAATGCTGTAGGTAGTTTTATGTATACAAATTTTTAAAATTCTAAAACTAATTTCCATAATATCATGGGATTTTATAGAGTTTAAGGAAGTCTATAAAATGTTGTCTATTAATATTGTTTATGAGTATGTTTATTAGATTTTATTGTAAAAATGTTTGGTCTAAATTATCTTGTAATTATATATAATGTGTTTTATAGTAGCTGTTTGTACGTTTGGCTTAAGACCTCTGGTCAATAAGCTAATAAATGAAATGAAAGGAAGCCTCCAAGTCAAGATGGAGAACTGGAGTGCTTGGTACTAAACAGCTATTTAGATATAGTGGATGTTTCAAAAATATGGTGGAATAGGGGAAATCAATGGGGTATGGTCATTCCTGGGACATTCCTGTGTAGGTTTGTTTTAGAGGAAGTTTCTGGAAGTTTCTAGAATTTTGGTGGAATCCACATTTCCCTGCTTATTGCCCTATAACTGCTGCTACCACCTTCTTTTATCTCCATGCTTTACAATCATGTTTAGCTGTAAAATTTAAAAAAAATATGACCATACCTTTAGAGGTGCCACCATGCTTTTATATGTGGCAAACATTTTAGTATTTGTATATATATTTGCATGTGCATAAGCACAGAAAAGTTAGCAGAAGCAGCAGCCAGGCAGGAGAAACATTGGCAGTAACATGTGATGGTTGAGAGACCACTGAAGTACTGAATCAACCTTGAGAATAGTTTTGAAAGTTTGGAAGAGACCTCAATACAGTCAAATTTAAGCCAATGCATTTCTTCCCAAAGGAACGTGCTGGGCCACATCTATCACGAATCTACAGCTTGTGGTTGTTTGAGAGCTTTGGATCCAAGCCATTGTTCCTAAACCATAAGATGGAATTCCCCCACAGTTAGTTGCAATTGGCAAAGGAAACATGTAAACAACTTCTGGTTTGTCTGTCATCAGAAAGACTAAGCAATTCTAGCAAAGTTCTTCTTTGTCTATTTAACAAAGACGTGATGTATGGGATCGTAACCATTTTTTTTGTCTCATGTCTTGAGAGGATCACTAAAACAGAATCTGACATAGCAGTAGGACTGTTTTATAATGTTTTTGCTTTGTATTTTTCTTAATATATGCAACAGCACCAGTATTTGTTTTCAGTGTCTGAACTTCAGTAATATTCTGTTCCTCTTTTTCTGCCCACAGTTTTTCTTAAAACAGAAACATGACTGCCCACCAACTCATAATCCTGATAGTGGATTTTATAAGCAGGGGTCCTGCAAAGACATGCATGAGCCATCTCATTTTAGTCTCACCCACTATTTCCTCTTTTCCTTTCCTGAAAGCCCCAATAGCCTCTCCCCTTTCCTTGCTTCCTTCTCTCCTTCCCACCCACCAGCCATTATTTGCTTCCCTGTCTTAATCTTTCCCTCAGCCTCTACCAGGAAAACCAGTTGTGCAGAGCTGACCACTGGGTCAGGTTCAGTTGTGTGGGTCCGGCTACTGAGCCAAGACCAATTGCACAGTAGGGAATCTGCAAGGACTTGCACAGGGCACCTCCTTTTTCCCTGCACTCCCTCACCTACACTATTTCCCCTTTCCGTCCTCCTGGCAAACCCCATATCCTCACCTTTCGCTTCTTTCTTCTCTCCTTACCACCCACCCACCAACCTTTTATCTACCCCCATCTTGATCATTATGTATTATTTATATAAATGTACACTTCATTTATACCTATCACTACAAAGTGATACCAAAGCAGCTTACATCATTCCCCTCTCCTACATTTTATCCTCACAACAACCCTGTAAGGTAAGTCAGGCTGATAATATGTAACTGAGAGTTCATTGGTCACCCAGTAAGCTTCCACAGCAAAATGTTGATTTGAACCTGGGTCTCCCAGATCCTAGGCTGAATTGCTGACCACTATGCCACATTAGCTTTTGTGGGGCAGCTACTGTTGAGCAACAGCAAGTAGCAGGCCTGGATGCATTACGCAAGTCAAGTGGTAGCAAGTTGCCTGATGTCAGGCTTGGCACCAGTGAGCCCTCCTTTAAAATTCCAAACAGCCCTGTAAAGGACCCAGTCCCCTTCCCCTGACTTTTATTGACTTGTAGACTTGAAATACCATTGTGGTTGCCTACCAATAGCCACTGAGGATATTAATTTCTTATAGCTACAGATGCTGCTTCTATTATTTGGAGGTTTAACCCCACAATATTATTTGTTTATTTCTATTTTTAAGATTTCAGATTATTCTGCAAACCTGTTCACTTTTTCAGGTTTATACAAAGATCTGTATTGTCTGTTTTTGGCCCCAATCTCTGGGTCTAAGTATTCACTGATTTGACCATGTTGAGAATTAGATATATTGACAAGCAGAAACCCACAAGGACTTGCAGGGGTATCTCATTTCCCCTCCACTACTGTTTCCCTTACTATTTCCTTTCCCCCTTTCATTAAAGCTATCACAGCCCCTCCCCTTTTCCTGCCTCCTCCTCTCCCACCAACCAACTAACCTAACTTTCATCTGCCCTTCATCTTCAGAAATATTATTTATTTACTTCACTTATACCCCACCTTTTTCCACAATGGGGACCCAAAGCAGCCTACATTTATTTATTTTATTTATTATCTTAGATTTATAACCCACCTTCCCTTGCATAGCACAACAGCCGTATAAGGTACGTAATTCTCCTCTCCTCCATTTCTTCCTCACAACAAACCTGTGAGAAGCTGCAGTCTGGGAGTGAAAAACCCTGGAAAATGGCCCTGCCCACAGTCCACCCTGGCCATGACCCCCAAAGTAGAGAGGGAGAGAGGAAGATGCAGTCGACCTGCCCTTATCCTGCCCTCCAAAATGGGAAGGAAGAGGCAGTCTGCCCAACCAATTGGCCAGATAACAATTTCCTTACTAAGCATAGGGCTCGAGTGCGCTCTGTTCCACCTCCCTCACCCCATGCAGGGCTCAGGTGGGCCTGGGGCCATCACTGCTCCCATCACTTTGGGTAGCCTGAGTGCCACTGGCCTGGTTTCTCGTGGGCTGGAAGCTACCTTGACTCAAGTGGGGCTCACATTGGGTGGGCAGGCTGGGCATGCAGGCCTGATATGGCTGCCTTCTTTGCATCATGAGGGCCAAGCACTGCTGCCTCCTTCGCATGGGCCAGGCATTGCTGCCACCTGCTTCATCTCGTGCAGGGTTCAAGAGGGCTTGGTGGTGCTGCCTCCCTGACTTTGCACAGAACTTGGATGGGCCAAGCATCACTGCTTCCCTTGCCTCATGCGGGGCTCAGGTGGGTGGGGTGCTGCCTCTGTCACTTAACATCAGGCAGGCTGGGTGCCACCTTCCCCACCTTGTATGGGGTTTGGGCAGGCCAGGCTCAGTCCTTCTGTCACAGTGCTGGCACATCAATCCCTGGTAGGTGCCTGGGTTCTCTTAATGGCCAATCCACCCCACCTGCGAGGTAAATTAGGATGAGAATGTATAATTGGCCCAAGGTTACCCAGGGAGTTGCCACAGGAGATTGGGGTTTTGAGCTCCTAAACTGAAGTTCTAACCACTACATCACACTAGCCTTCATGGTGTGACTGCTGTTGAACGTTAGCAAGCAGCTGGGGCTGGGTTAGTCATGCAAGTCACATGGTATCAATTTATCCAGTTGAAGTTGCCAGGCTTGGCTCCAATGAGTCCTCTCTCAAAACAGCCCTGAGAAGTCTCCCTTCCCTGCCTTTTACTGACAGAAACCAAGCCTGGAAAGCTTGCAAAACACTTACGGTTGCCTAACAATGGCCACTAAGGGCATCCATTTCTTAAAGCTGCAGGTGCTTCTTTAATCATTTTGAGGTTTGTTTGTTTTTTAGATTTCAGATTTTTCTTCAAACCTGGCACATTTTTTCAGGTTTGCAGAAAGATCTGTCTTGTCTGTTCATGGTTCCAGTCTCTGGAATTATCCTCAGATTTGGCTGACTTGGCTATTAGAATCTAGACTATATGTCATACTAGGGAATATTCTGATTTTAGGAATTCAAAAATGCAATGAGAGATACTATGAAAAATGAGCTGTGGAATAAATTCACGTGTTTTAAGTTATTTAAACTGTTCTTATTGATTTACGTTGCAATCCCTTGAATGATAAATGCTACACTTGTTCTTTTGTTTACATGGATGTCCTAACTAAAGCAATAAATCCTTTAATGATCAGATAAATTTAATCCCACTTTTTTGTATAGCATATTCTATATAAGCATATGCTGTGGTCTATAGCCTTCTTTTCATGCATTCCTTCCAGTATATATTAATACAAGTTAGAATTTGAGGGATAAAGCATTTTAAAATATCAGTATAACAATAAGCTCATGCATAGGTTCAGAGAAATTGTATAGTAACTTGAATTAAATGCCAGGAAATAGAAATGCCAAAGCAGCACTGAGTAGCAAAGTCTACTGTCAGGTCTGCAAATTAACATAATATAAGCATCCCTTTAAATAGAAGCATACACAGTCCCAAAAGCATGGTTATCAGTCATCCAGATTAAAAAGTAATTAAAATGTTAATCCTATACACCCTTACTAGAAAGTAACTCCCACTGAACTCCAAAGGTCTAACTTCCAACTGAACAAAATTTGGCTGTTAAAATTTTTCTACCAGACTATAAAGGCATATATCCTATGAACAAGTTCTGTCGGCACTAAATGGTCTCTGTCATAGAGAGCACTGGCACTTTCACTTGCCTACAATCAATGATTTTAAACAAGCAAACAGAAAGGCTAGTGCAGGAGAATCCAGGCCACTGAGGCTAACATTTTCTAAACATACATTTTACCAATGCTCCAGCATGCAATATAATGCATGCAACAGCAGTGACTCTACCAACTAGCTCTCTGCATATCACACCTAATCCAATTTCACCTGCTATTTTCATTTGCCTGCTAATGTCATTTGGCATCTGAAATCACTCCAGTTTCCAATATATAGGGCAGATGGACTCCCATTCTAGCTGTATCCAAAGAACTGAGAAGTGGCTCATGAAAGCTCATACCGTACCACAAAGTTTGTTAGTTTTTAAGGTGCTGCTGGACTCTTTTCTACTGCTACAGACTAATATCTACTGCTACAGATCGATATCAAGTTGTGTTTGTTTGGCTTTTTAGCCTACCACATCCTGAAGGCTGGGGAGAATTAGTGATGGCACAAATGCTTCTCAGTATTGCTATTTGTGATATAGCTCAGGATAACCATTTTACTCATTAAATATCACCTTCACTAGTGTCATGGCTTTAATGGGTTTCAAACTGTAATGATTTCAATTTAAAATGGTTTTCAATAAAAGACAGAAAACAGCTAAACATGTAATTTTACCCATAATCAGAAATTAATCTTACCAGAATCTGTTTTTTTCCTTGCAACTGTAGAGTCTGTTGATAAACTGGTGCTCGCACTAGAGCTTGTACTAAAAAGTCTGGTAATATCTTGATCTGTTAATATGTCACCTACAAAAAAAAAATAAAAATGGAAAAATAAATAAATAAGCAATACAAATACACAGAAACAGACTAGTGAACATGAAGGATCTTAAGGATCAGTATTGGGAGCACTGCTATTTCATTTCTTCATACACAATTTCGAACTGGGGATGAGAAGTTTGCAGATGATAATCAAGGCAGACTGTGAAGAGTTCCAGGGGGGTCTCTCTAAATTGGGTGCGTAGGCAACAATGTGGCCAATGAAATTCAATGTAGGTAGTAAGTGTAAGGTAATGCACATTGGAGCAAAAAAAAATCTAATTTTAAATATATGCCAATGGGGTCTGAACTGACTGAGACAAAAAGAGCTCTTGGAGTTGTAGTGGATAGTTCAATGAAAATATCAACTTATTTTGTAGAAATGGTAAAAAAGGCGAAGTCCAAACAGTGGATTATTAAGAAAGAGGCTGAAAATAAAATTGCCAGTATTGTAATGCCCCCATACAGATCTATTTTGTGTCCTCATTTGGAGTACTATGCATTTCTGGTCACCATATCTCAAAAATATATTGTAGATCTGGAAAAAAATCCAGAAGAGGGTAACCAAGATTATTGAGGGTTGGAGTAGTTTTCCTATGAGGAATATACAAAGCTGGCATTTTCAGTTTATAGAAAAGTCACATAATATAAGTTTATAAAATTATGTATGGGGTGGAGAAAGTAGACAGAGCGACCTTGTTCTTACTCTCCCATAATACTACAGTTTGAGGGCACCCACTGAAGTTGATAAGCAATAGATTCAGGACAGATAGAATGAGGTACTTCTTCATTTAACGAGTAATTACATTGTGAAGTTCATTGCCAGTGGACATGGTGATGGCCATGGTGATGGCCATGAGAACAGATGGCTTTAAGAGGTAATTAGAAGAACTCGTGGGCACTCAATGAAATTGCTGAGCAGTCAGGTTAGAACAGATAAAAGGAAGTACTTCTTCACTCAAAGAGTGATTAACACATGGAATTCACTGCCATAGGAGGTGGTGGTGGCTACAAGCATGGACAGAATTAGATAAACATATGGACGGAATTAGATAAACATATGGAGCAGAGGTCTATCAGTGGCTATTACCCACAAGGTATAGATAGGAGCTCTCAGTCTGGAGCAAGTGATGCACTGTATTCTTGGTCCTTGGGGGGGCAACTGTGGGAGGGCTTCTAGTGTCCTGGCCCCACTGGTGGACCTCCTGATGGCACCTGGTATTTTTGGCCACTGTGCGACAGAGTGTTGGACTGGATGGGCCACTGGCCTGATCCAACATTGGCTTCTCTTATGTTCTTATGAGGACAGATCTGTGGAGGATAGGTCCATCTAGTAGCCATGATAAAACTAAAGGGAATCTACATTTCTAGAGGTGACAAATCTCGAGGCAGCATCAGGGGAAAGCCTTCGTTTCTATGCCCTGCTTGTTGGTCCATCACGGCAACTGATTGGCTGCTATGTGAAACAGGATGCTGGACTGCATGGACCCCTTGAATGAATAACCAGCGCAAGGTCTTTCAGATAAATGTTGTTGTTTTAATAAGGCCAAATTGACACATGACGTTTGAAATGCTTTTCAGTCCTACCCCCACTACTGGTGGGGACTCTGGTAGGCATGTAAATATGAAAAACAGGTAATTTTAAATATATTTGTTATCAAGTTTCTGAATTGCTTGAGGGCCAAGTGGGAAACTAAATTCATAATTACATTTCAACCTCCTGTGCTTTATGACACATGTGTGAATTCCTTAGTTATTTGGTTACTATGTGATTAACAATAACAATATCTCCAAGTATTTTGCCTTAATTTGCATTTCCTAGTATTTCAGCTCATGGTTTATGGTTGACTGGTAGTTCAATATAAAACTGATTTGTGGCACTATATTATTATAGTTTCTTTTGCTCTTTAAAGGAAAAATACCACAAGATACACAAATAAAATTGTTATATATACAAGTATTAGCTTGACTCCTATTAGCCTACAACTTATTAAATGCAGTGCTTCCAAGTCCAACTCTTTGATGCCTTGACCAGCATTAATAGTTTAATTTTATAGTAAATTGGATTTCTTGCCTGTGAAACATTTTATGGTAAAATTTCCTTTGAATTGGCAAGGATTATTATGGAAGCACTACACAAAATAGACTATGTAAAAAGTCACCAGGCAAATTACTAAGCAGAATCAGTTATGAAATTTCAGAGACAGGAATAATTTGTTCAACACAATCTGACAGGTTTAAAAAATCCAAACAGCCTATTTAATTCATTTTATATTCATTAATTGTCAATATAATATTTAATCTCTATCAGTTCTATAAATGAATGCAGCAGTCTTTTACTCTCTCTTCACAACCTCAAGTAGCATTTCACTTTTCAGACCGTAACTTACCAGATCAGGGTCTTCAGATTCAACTGATGGCCAAATTGAGACCAATCCAGAACATGTTTACTTGGAGTCAATTACCATGATTTCACTGGCATTTACTTTAAAGAAAATGTGTTTTCTTCCTGCATGTCTTCATTAACATGTATGTTTATTAACAGAGGAGCTAACACAACTTCAGGATGTAGACAAGCTTCTTGGAGACCACCGTGGCTAATTATATCAAGCCAGAGGGGATTGTCCAGTTGGGTCTAGGGAGTAGTAAATATAATGCTATCTCGATCAGTGGGATTTTTATAATTGCCTTGAAGGAGATCATTACGATCTCCTGAAGAAGCTCTTCTTGGATTTGTCAGTTCAACAGGTATTAGTTGGCGCAAAATAGCCTACCTGAGCAAAGGAATCACGCTGGGTTGCACAACAATGATGAGCATGAATCGAATATGGAAGAGCAAAGACATCAGCCTAGCAACCAAATGCAGATTAGCCTGTGCTATTGTGTTCCCCATAGCAACCTATGGCTGCGAAAGTTGGACCATGAAGAAGCAAGATAGGAGGAAAATCATTTGAGCTGTGGTGCTGAAGAAGGCTCCTGCGTATTCCTTGGACAGCAAAGGTGACAACCAACCAAGCTCATCAAACCAGACATGCCATTGGAAGGAAAAATCACAAAACTGCAATCAACTAATTTTGGCCATGTCATGCGGAAGAACTCACTAGAAAAAGCAATTATGCTTGGATTGGTTAGTGGCAAAAAAGAAACCTGGCCACCAAAGAACACGGTGGCTAGACACCATAAAAGTTGACACCAGCCTGTGTGTGGAACAATTCAAAGAAACAGTACAAGACCAGAAAATGTGGAGAGAGCTGATCCATAGAATCACCAAGCGTCGAACACGACTGAATGGCTAACAACAACAATATCACCCTATGTGGAAGACATTTGTGATGGCATGGCATCTTAGCAGCTTCTGCTTGTGGAGATTGAATCATACAATTGATTTATTATTAGCTGGCACCTGCAAGCTTTAGAAGTAGGAAAGTTGGCATCTTTAACCCCTATACATTTTAGCCATTTAAACAAGTTATCTAGAATATTTTCAGAAAGTAATCACAAACTAAGTAAGTGGTTTGATGATGCAAGCTTTGAGTTCGGTAGCATCTTTAAAGACCAATAAGATTTCCAGAGTATAACCTTTTGAGAGTCAAAGCTTCCTATGTCAGCTATAAGACATGTATCTGACAAAAGGGCACTTTGACTCTCAAAAGCTTATACCTTGGAAATCTTGTTGGTCTTTAAGGTGATACTGGACTTGAATCTTGCTCTAGTTTGATGAGGAATGCAATGGAGTTAAGAGGATGCACACAGGTTGCCTACTTCAGCGTAGGGGACACAGTAACCAAAGCTAATGAACATGTGGAGGGGTAAGCAGTATCCACCTACTAACCCTGCCCTCAACCTTTATTCACTCAGCATCTCTTCTGCACAGATCTGTATGCACACTAGTATGCTCTGTATATCAGATCTGTACCCTGCAAAAATCCAAGAAATACACCCTACAGATCATCTTTGCCTAGGAACATGTGAAGCTGCTATATGCTGAGTCAGGCTATTGTGTCATCTAGTCCAATACTTGGCAGTAGCTCTCTAGGGACTCAGACCAAGAAAGAAAGTCGCTCTCCACACATGCTGCCTGAAATCTTTCAACTGAAGATGCCAAACATTGGATCTGGGACCTACTACTAAGCCATGGATCCTTAGATCTTGTACAGAAGAAGTGATGAATATATGGAGCTTGGAGACTGAAGACTCTGGGCATGATCCCACTCCACCCTCTACATGTTAATTTCCCTGGATTGCATGTCACCCAACACAGGACTCATCACTCATGGACTATTATTATGTCATTAACCACTATATGAAATAATGGAGGCTTCTATAGATGCTTGTGGGACAAGCTATGAGAAGCTTATTGATCATTCTTCATACATGACACAAAGTGTCATAGCGAGATCAGAGATTTTCCACAGTCAGATCCTGAGTTCATTTGTGTGGAAGCTGCCCCTGTAACTGCTTTGTTTCAGGTGTATATTCATAACTGTAACTCTATAGCATTCTATTTTTTGAGAAAATGAGGCCAAGCATTATCTTAAGTGTAAAACCAATCATTTCTGCTATTCATTTGATTAAAAAATAGCTACTCGGATAACCAAGATATGGGTATCTCCCTTATATATAAAAGCCGAATGGTGGTGGCACTTCTCTAGAACATTCCACACGCTCCGGAATTGGTTGGCGCCCTGGTGTGTCACTCAGAATCTGTCCCTATCCACTGGCTGCATTGCTTGAGTCTCGCCTCCAACATTCTAAACAGTTTGCTGTTCCTCTCCCCCCCATAGCCAGTCAGAACATAGAGGTTATTTGCATATGCAGCCTCATTGGCCTTTGCCTCGGAACACAGAGGTCATTTGTTGAGATCAGTTCCTCTGGAGAAAATGGTGGACTCGGTGTCATTATACCCTGCTGAGGTCGCCACAGCAAATTGACACTGAGTGTCCAAGGTCGGGGCACTCGCCCAGAGCCTCTTTCTAGAGACCATTGTATTTATTTCCACAATGGGCCTTTTTCCTAGTAAGTAATAACACACAATCAAAACATCAAACACATGTCAAAATATGCAACAAAACAATAAACAAGAAAGCCTAGCAAAACTCTAACTACTAAAGAACCTCTTGCCCATCCTGAGCACAAAACCACATGCATACATTTAAATAGTTAAAACAAAGTTCTGCAAGTATCGATGCCTCACCCCATATCCCCCTGCCAGATGTTCTTGTTCTGCCAGGAGCTGGTGTTGTTTTATGTGTAACTGAAAAGAAAAGAATGTCAAGTTGCTAAAGACATTAAACATCAGAAGAAAGCAATGATTCCCTTCTGGGGAACCATCATTGCCAATCTCCAGGTGAGGGCTGGAGAACACTCAAAATTACAACTGTTCTTTAGGTAGCAGAGATCAGTTCCTCTGGAGAAAATGGTGGACTCAGTGTCACAGCAAATTGCCACAGCAAATTGACACTGAGTGTCCAAGGTCGGGGCACCCACCCAGAGCCTCTTTCTAGAGATCATTGTATTTATTTCTACAATGAGCCTTTTTCCTAGTAAGTAATAACACACAATCAAAACATCAAACACATGTCAAAACATGCAACAAAACAATAAACAAGAAAGCCTAGCAAAATTCTAACTACTAAAGAACCTCTTGCTCATCCTGAGCACAAAACCACATGCGTACATTTAAATAGTTAAAACGAAGTTCTGCAAGTATCGATGCCTCACCCCATATCACCCTGCCAGATGTTCTTGTTCTGCCAGGAGCTGGTGTTGTTTTATGTGTAACTGAAAAGAAAAGAATGTCAAGTTGCTAAAGACATTAAACATCAGAAGAAAGCAATGGTAGAGATTGATTTTGGCAACTAACAGCTCTAAAGTCTTGCATTGTTCATTTAGACACAATTGAAAGGTTAATACTGAGATCAAGAATTGTGGAAAACAGACCTACAATAGTATCTGGACTACCTCAGAAGCAGGTAAGAAAGAACTGTATGACCTGCCTTTCGTCATATTTAATTTTTTTTCACTGAGCTGCATCAAAATTCAGGTAAATATTTAAGCATATACTATGCTTGTGAAAATAATGTAAGCAAGCTCATGTTATCATTGGTTCAAATGCTGCTGTAATCACTGCTGGTATGGAGAAGGCAGCAATTTTAGGGGAGGATGAATGAATGTACAGGCTTTGCATTCAGAGGGTTCCAGATTCAATCCCTGGTATATTCAGCTAAAGAACCACTGAACTTCCTCTCTTGGACCCTAGAGAGCATCTGCCAGTCAGAGCAGACATTGGTGATCTAGATGGGTCAGTGGTTTGACTCAAGTCATGGCAGGTGTGGCTGGACAACAGCGGGCCAACATGGCCTCTAGAATGTTATACCAAGGGTTGTGGGAATAAACTTGTCTCCTTGAGTTCAAGTACACATAAACAATGGAAAAAATAGTAGTAGAAAGGGTTGAGAGACTTGAAAGGAAGCATGTAAGCCAACGTCATCAAATGCCTCACTTAAGTCTCCTTATGCCTTCTAATGCTTTTAATTGAAAGAATTAAGCTAATTTGACTAATTTAGAAGATAAAATGAAAAAATTAAGCTAATTTGACTAATTTAGAAGAACACATTAAAAGAGTCATTGATTACCAGGTCTGGTCTGTGACTTATCCATCATCTTTGGTTTTGCAGTCGTCGTGAGATACACTTTATGAGATGCTGATTGAAAGAAAACAAAATAAGTTTAATTTTGATAAAAGTTACATGTAGTATAGTTCATTTCCAGAAAGGTGCAAATGTCACAACAGCAGATGAAACAGAGATGTATAAGCTTTGTCATTTCTAGCAATAGTTAAGATGTACATTAATGATGAGAGTAGAAAAAGAACTGATAGAAAATCACCATGGTTTCTGCTAACAAAGCAATGATCTAAATACCATAGGAGTTCCTTGACTAAAGTGTTTTTCTACACATCATGCAACATACAAAAAGCCCACAGAATCTCAGTGTGATTAGTTCACTGTGTTCATTGTGTAAATGGCAATACTAATTAAAGTATAGTGGGTGATCTGCTCTGCCATGAATTCAATAGATTCTTATACAACCCACTATACCTATCTCAGCTGTTCCCCACCAACACAAAAAAGCTGGGGATTAATACTGACCAATTATAGAGGGATGTAGTAACAGTCATTAAGATCATGTACTTGAAGCACTTGGAATACATTAACCTGCTTTTGTCATACAACGTTTTGAGTACACTAGACTTGCAGTTTGTCATAAAACTTTCTAACAGGTACAAAGGTATCTGATACAACTTGCAGTAGGTATTTAGGTAATTCCAAATTAATTCAACTGTATCAAAACTTTTCTTAGCCAACAAAGGTCCCAGTCACACACACGAGATAATGCACAGGGGAAGTGAGGCTATTTAACCCGGAGGAAATTGACCTGCAGTTGCAGCATGATCACACAGTTCTTTGAAGCTGTGGGCACAGTCTGCCACTGTGTGATTAGATGCAATCACGGGTGAGTTGGGTTTTTTTTTGCTGTTTGTTTTCTATTCGCTTAAATGAGGATCAATGAATTGCATTGATAGTGTGCGATGATGCACATACTGATAAGGGGGAAAAAACAACAGCACGGAGTCGGGATGGCCTGATCAGAGCATCCCGACGCCATGAGAGCGCGCTGGAATGATCACACGGGGGAAAGTCCGCTGTGGCCCATAGCAACCCGTTTGATACTGGACTTTCCCTGGTATTTTTTAAACTCCGCTTCTTCGGCAGAGCAAGACGGGTTGTCGACGGGTGCGGGACGCTTGCCAGATGTTCCCATGTGATCATGCCCTTAAAATCCGCCTGGCATTCGTGCCTATCGCGCGGCTAATTCTGTGTGTGATCGGGACCAAAGAAGTCTTTATTCCAATCCAAATAACTGCACTATGATTAGGTTGCTGCTGGAAATCACTTCCATGTGGTCAGGACCTCACCTGGCTGACAATATTTTTGAACAATCTTTGTTCACGAATTTGCTACACAATCACACAATAAATACTTGAGCAAGCATTGCATTTCCATGGAAGGTAGGGGACTCATACTAATCATATGATCAGACACAGATTGAGGGTTGGTGTGGTATAGTAGTTAGTATCAAATTAGGACCTGGGATAACTGGATCTGAATCCCTCACTCAACCACAGAAGCCCACCAGGTGACCTTGGGCCCATCAAAATCTTGCAACTTAACCTACCCTCACAAGCTTGTGAAAATTAAGTGGAAGCAGGGTGGGGGGGATGACGTGAAAAGCTGTGTCCTCAATCCAAAAGAAAAGTGGGATATAAATAAAAAATAAGCATAAGATTAAAATGCTTCGTTAGCCACATAGAGCCTCTGTCACAAAAATAGTGGTTTCCAGCAATTTGTGTCTAAAGGACATTCTGGAATCCACAAAACCTAATCAACAGGCACAAGATCAAAGCCTGCTATAGGGAAAACATCCTGCCTCCAGCATGTGAGATATCATGAATGTTGCTGCCACACCACTGAATGTTTATCTCCCTCACTTTGTCACCTCTAACCATGTTATAACAATTTTGGCATAAATTGATTGCATAATATTGCACTTGCATAAAGCCATGAAGTGAGCTGAACTGATATTCTTGAAAGCTAAATTTGCCAGTTTGTGCTATAAACAATTGATTCCATAGCTATGATAATATCCTCATTCCTCACCATTCTAAATCCTCAGAGACCACTGTCCTTAACAACTCCTTTCCTGAGATACATGTATCATTAGATCATAAAGCAAAATACACAGTTGAAGTTCTGAGTCTGCATAACAGATTCAACATACTGTACTAATTCAAATGAAACAACAACAAATTCATTACCAGTTTTTATATGTGGGCTTTCAGTTGTTTCCACACTTGGGAGCTTGAATGGAACTGAAAACAAAACATTAGAACTTGGTAAGTGTATGCTGCATCTTCTGTAAAAGGAATGTCCACAAGTTCAAAGGAAAAGAGAGATTCTTTCAAACTAATCTAGAGGTTGCAATGCTCAGAGATGGAAACCTGGCTGGGGGGCAGGGGTCATGCTTTCATGTAATCTTTGAGACCAAGTGGAAATTCAGAATTGACAAACTCAGATACAGAAGCAGAATGTTGAGGGAATGATTTGATGACAGTTCAGGGCTTGCGCTGTGCCAGGAGGTGGAGGTTCCTAAATGGAGAAGCAAAGAAAAGGTCTGGAAATAATCATAAGCAGTGCGCCCTGCAGAATAATCAACAAGTAAAAGCAAGTAAATGAACTTATGAACTTTTAAAAACAAAGGGTGGTTTTTTAAAGTTTAGTAACCTGGAAGATACTAGATAAAAGATCCAGTCAGTTTTGGAGGGGAAAAAAATCAAATTACCCGAAGTATCTTTGGGCCCACTGAGAACGTGAATATGAAGGTTAATTGATCCTGGGAATGTTTCCACTGGTGCTATGGGAACAAAAGAGGTGTGGCAATTGAGACCAAGCAGAGGTTGTCTTAATCTCATGTGAGTGGAAAACAAGCAGCATGAGAATTTCACAAAATAAAATACGTTTCCTATACTCAAACCCCCAAGCACTTCCATTGCCTTTTCCTTGCATGTCTTGTATCTTTTGGATAGTAAGTCTTCAGACAGAGACTGCTGTGACTTTTAAAATAGCATTAGCTGCAGGCTGCATCCACACGTTGATGCAGCTTGCAGCTAGTACAGTTGCTATTTTAAAAACCACAACAGTATCTGCCTGGAGTCTTACAATCTAAAATGGAATATGATTTTCCATGTTGCATCCATTTGCAGTGGCAACAGAGTCCATGAGTAATGAATTCCTGCCTTGCTCAGCCATCTTGTTGTTTCCCTTCCTGATTCATTTGTAGGCAATCTGAACAAAAGCCGCTGTACCTTTCCCCTTATATTTCTGTAATGAAAAGGACCAGTTCAGAATTCAGAGGAACTAATGACAATGTTACTGTGTTATAGCAATTGCCAATTTTTGAAAAAGCTATTAAAATGTCCTCCAGTGGTATGTAAGGAAAAATGGATCCATTTGTCATATTTAAGAGAAAAGAGAAATCTTACCATTTCATGCCATACATTGAAATCTGTTGGCTAATACAACATATAAAACTTTTTTAAAATTTTAGATGTGAAAAATTAGGAACCACTGGAAATAGCAGCTTTATACCTCGCTCTTAAAATTCCATAATTTAATATAACGATCCAGAATATACAAAACATCAAAAAGATGTTAGTAGTATACTTAGAGATATCACAGGTGTCACCTCATCTGATATAAAACTGTCAGACCATTTTCAAAGCCTGGTAAAACCCTACCTATGCTGAATATGTACAAAGAATGTAATTACCAGGTTTAGTCTGTGATATTTCTGGTTTGCCAGATGTTTTGGGTTTGGAAGGAATGAACTTTGTTTCTTTTGGAGCTGGAAAAAAGAGCAGGGTTATTGTATTTTTTAGCAATCACAGACTCATGCCATGTTTAGCTCAAGGGGAGTGCATGCCTTAAAAGCATCAAGTAAAGATAATGATTCTCTGTGTTTCTGGCAGCTGATTAAATTGGCTTGGAAAATAAAAAAAGAATGCAGTGATGCACAATGACAGGTAATGGTCAAGTTCTGAGGAGAACACCACATCAGGTATGAAAGACAGAGATATCAATGATAGTGTGGAATATGTGCTTTAGAGAAATCATTTCTAAGGCAACTATAAGAGATCAGAATGGTGGGGGGAAACAGTGAATGAATATATGGTATGTCACAGTATAAAACAAGTTTTTTTTTAAAAAATGCTTTTGATTCAGAAGACTGAATAAACAATGAAGTCCACCAAGGAAATCGTTACCCATAGTTATCTTTCGTCGTTCAGAAGGCATAGTAGGTTTGATTGTAAGTGGTTGTGAGGTTGTTTGATAAAGTGCTGTTGGAAGGAAAAATGTAAACATCTTTACATAGCTATAATAAAGATAATAAAAGCTACAGTGACTCTAGGTCCAAGCAGGGGATCTCCCAGCCATGGACCAGTTGGCCGGTTGGGGAAACCCTGCCCTAAGCATGGCGACGTCCCCGACATGATGACATCACCCGGAAATGACAACATCAAATTGGGGGTGTCATGCAGGGACACTTTGGTTTGGGGGCAAAACTCTATGGTATGAGGGTGAATTTACCATAGAGTTTTGCCCCAAAACCAGAGCATTGCCCCCGGAGTTACCGACACGATTATGTCATTTCTGGGTAATGTCATTGTGTCGCGTAACATTGAACGATGTCCCCACCCACCTTGGAACACCCCCAAAATCCCCCTGCCGGATGGACAAGGAGACCTGGCAGCCCTAAGTGACTCTGAGATAATGGATCATTATGTTGGAATATACTCTCCACAAGGGATATTGTTGAAAAAGTAAAAACACACTGAAAATTATAGGTTGGCAAAATATTTGATAAGATCACTCTTTTAACTTTTAGTAACTTCAACGTTATATGGGGTTGACAAGGGAAGATGAAGAACTTCTCTGAAACAACTGCAGATTCTGCTGAGATCATGCACATAGGCTCATATATGAATAAACCCCACTGATTTTGACACATACGACTTTGTATGATTGCAAGCTTTACCCATGAGAAGAGAAAAGAGAGATCTGTACAGTCATGATTGTAAAAAATGACACATACTCTCTTGGTCCATTTTGTATGGTTATTTAAAACACAATTCCAATAACTGTGAAAAGGCCCTAGGAATGCCAGGTAGTATTCATGGTCTGCTAGCTCAATGTCTTATTCTAAGCTGCAGCTTTTAAGATATAGGCATCATTTATAAAAGTAGATGATATTAATGTAGCATTCTAGTTTCAGTCACTTCTGGTGTTTGACAGCTAATGTCTATACCTTTACAAGAAGAAGTAACTGTGACTATACTATATCTCTGACATTCTATCTTCTCAGGTCAATGCTTTCTTGTTTTGCTATATCTGGCAACAGAATAATGGTTTCCACAGAAGACATGGGTGGCAATATGATATTTTCCTCTTATGACTGTAGCTGCTCAGGCATAACTTGAAGAATTTGGCTATTTGTCTCTCAAAATATAGAATGTGAGGTTTGGCTAATAATATAATTATATGAACATATAGAATTACAAAAGTGACTCAATTACCAGGTTTGGTCTCTAGAATTCTTGGCCTAGTGGATGGTTTTGATTTATTAGGAATGAAGTGTTCCACTGCTGAAGCTGAAATAAAAAATTTAAACCTGGATTATATCTCTCAATAACATATTTTGCTCTTCTGCTTGCAGACGAGCAAAGTGAAAACAAAGTATGTTAAAGCAATTCCCAAAACTAACTATGGTAATGCCAAGAAGGAAGACAACAGTTAATTTGTTTTGGCCCAGTCATGTTGATTATGAACTTTCCGAAAACCGGTATTGTCAATTACTGGAGAAGAAAGGCAGAAGACAGATGTGAAAAAGAAAGAAATAATTGTTTTATAGCTTGGTTGGTGAGAGAAGATAGTCCAGGTACAATACAAGATGTCTGTTTATTCAAGAAAGGAGTAGGCAAGGGTTTCCTGAGCCCCAGGATAGTTTTTCATTGCTACCAAGGGGAAGGAAAGGGTAGAAAGATCTCCCTCTGCTAGCAGCAAGCATGTAGTATATAATTCATTGTTACCTAAATTCTTTGTTGAAATAACTTGCTTAGAACTTTTGTAAATGCATTCAAAGGCAGTTGGAGCCTATGCCAATTACCAACTAAGGGTTCAGCACAGGGTTCATGACCCAGAAATGTTTTTTGCACTGCAGTTCCAACTACATTTCAGCAGATTTACAGTAGTATGCCAAAAACCAAATCTGGACTGGACTCTGAATGTAAACAGATTTTCCTTATAATCCTTAAGACGAGGCATCTGTAACTCTGCTGAGCCACTCCTGTAAAGTGCATCACATCCAAGTAAGTTAAATTTATATCTGATGCAGGGAGCCTTTTTCTTTTCTTTTTTTAAAGGAATAACTCATATTTTAACATATTAATAACTCATATTTTAAAGGAATAACTCATATTTTCATACAGAAATGGGACTAATGCAAAATTAATCTTGCTGTCTCCTTTGAACTACAAGATTTGGATCAATGTAGAAATGCTTCTGCAGTTATGATTTCACCATGCAAAGAGCAGTAATCACTGCATAGTTTGAGTTAAAGGGCAGTGGAGTGCATGGAAAGAGAGAATGGTTAGTAACACGTTGACACAAGCTTCTTCTTAGAATCCCTTCTCCTGAGAGGATCAAAAGAAAAACATGACCATGAGTAAACAGTGTTGCCTTTTCCCATTCAAGACTATAGTAGTGAGAATGGTATAATATCAGTTGGAAACAATGGAAAGAAATCACAACATAGGTGGAGAAAAATATACAATTTGTTTTACACCAATGAAAGAAGATACTCAGATTTCTAAATGTTGTAAGCATTATTCTCACATATATAAGACATCAAAATCTCTTTTGCTGACAGTTTTATTGCATTTTCAAAACGTAAAATATATATTCATACATAAAAAGTTATTGGTGTGTTGAAATTAAATTCTAAAATTATGTTAGGATGTCAGGGCCTTTCCTGCATTGCTCAATAAATAACACCTGAATTAATTATGGCATTAAACATGTGTTTCAAACAGTTTTCCACATGTTACTCCCATAGTACATTCAGAGTCAGGGTAGGCATGCTGAGTACAGATGTGGCCTCGTTCCCACCCCCTGGTCTCCACCATCACTATTTATAGTCCAGTGATATGCAAATGCCTTATCAGATGTCCTTTGTCAAAAGTTTTGTTTAAAAAGCCAAGAATATTTTATTCATTTCATTTAAAACATTTCTGTGCCATCTTTGCACTCAGGGACCCCAAGGCAGTGAAAATCAAACACTAACACATTTCAACATTACAACATTTAAAATAAAGTATATACACAATAATTCAATAAAAATATGTCCTCCACCATTCACAGACAGGATTTTCCTGCTTTCTTCTCCTGCTCTAATCTACTGACTCTCCTAAAATGTTGTTCCCATTGGTCTGAAGAACCTCAGAAAGTGCATAAGATGCAAAGAATGAGAGTCTCCAGAGGGATGGGTAATCAGCAAAAACTGCCCTCCCTCTTCTGCAAACAGAAATGCCGTTCTGCCAGAGAAATTGCATGGCTGGATACATGCAGCTACCTTCTGAATAATCTTTTATATACACACAGAGGTCATTTACGCACACACACATATTTTACATAGTCGAGAAATTCTAAAATATCTGCAAGGTTCCTTTTTGAAAGCTATCTGCCAATCTCAGTTCTCAGTTGATTAATGTAGGAGTTTTAATCAGTCAAATAATCAATGACCTGCATAAATTTGTACATTGAATAAGACAAATTTTAAGAACATAAGAGATGCCAATATTGGATCAGGCCAAAGGCCCATCCAGTCCAACACTCTGTCACACAGTGGCCAAAAATACCAGGTGCCATCAGGAGGTCCACCAGTGGGGCCAGGACGTTAGAAGCCCTCCCACTGTTGACCCCCCCCAAGCACCAAGAAGACAGAGCATCACTTGCCCCAGAGCCCCTAGCTATACCTTGTGGCTAATAGCCACTCATGGACCTCTGCTCCATATGCCTATCTAATTCCCTTTTGAAGCCATCCATGCTTGTAGCCGTCACCACTTCCTGTGGCAGTGAATTCCATGTGTTAATCACTCTTTGGGTGAAAAAGTACTTCCTTTTATCCATTCTAACCCGACCGCTCAGCAATTTCATGGAGTGCCCACGAGTTCTTGTATTGTGAGAAAGGGAGAAAAGTACTTCTTTCTCTATCTGCTCTATCCCATGCATAATCTTATAAACCTCAATCATGTCACCCCTCAGTCGTCTTTTCTCCAAGCTAAAGAGCCCTAAGCGCCTTAACCTTTCCTCATAGGGAAAGTGTTCCAACCCTTTTATCATTCGAGTTGCCCTTTTCTGCACTTTTTCCAAAGCTATAATATCCTTTTTAAGGTGTGGTGACCAGAGCTGCACACAGTATTCCAAATGAGGAATTTTGAAGCAGTTTTTGTTTTTAAACAGTGGGAGTTGATACAACCATCCTCCAGGGAGGCTTCTTCAGAGCTAAGGAGCTTTCCCACAAATTAAATGGCTCTTCCTCCAATGGAAGAGTCACTTAAGTTGGAGGGAGGCTCCTTAGGCTGGGGGAAGGCTTCAATCTTTGCTCAGGGGAGCTGGAAGGCAGGGCTAGAAGGATCTTACCCAATAGAAGTATATTTGACAGGAAGGTGTGCCTCGGAAGAGTGATGCTTTACTGTGAGTATTAGGGAGAAGAAGTAATGCCTCTTTTAAAAGAGTGCCTTCTATTTGCAGTTTGTATGATTACTTACATTAATTGATGGGGTTGCCCAGTTAATATGAGGCAACTTTTTAAACTTATCAATTTTTAAAAATCTATTAATTTAACCAATTAGTGGATCCAACATTGGTGCCCAAATTTAAATGTCTGCAAGAAAAAAAGAACTGATAGTGAAAGTATATAAAGCACAGTTAATGATGACAATGGACACTCATGAGCAATGATTTCCTTTGGGGGCTGACTGATGTGCGGCGGGAGGTCTGGCCACAGAACTGCAGTGTTAGGAAGGCAAAGAGAAATTACACAAATAAGCAAATCACTGAGGGAATAAGAGCCTATACTTTACAAATTAGGAATGTGAAGGGAAAATGAAGTCCATGCTCCATGATGTCTTTATGAAAGCAATGTGCTTCTGAGACATAAAAAAATGAAAAAACACAAAGAATAACAATCATAGAAGGATCCAAAAAACTACTTAGCTTCATACGAGGGGCTTAAACTAGCCCAGAGGAATTTTTGACTCCCCCCCCCAATAGGATATTGCATTCTCCAGGCCAAGTTACAACCTGCACTCAAAAGCATTCTGTTTCAAAAGCAGTTTGTCACTAGGCAGGGGAACTTTATGGCCTGAGAAAAACAAGTCTAAGGTCCCCTTGGGCTCATGGAACTAGTTGCATGTTTTTTTGGATCATGGCCAGAATAATTATTCTTAACACAAAATGACACAAACTTTTGTTTCATAAAATTTTAAATACACAGTTCCAAATTAATGAGTAGAATCCCATCTAAAACTTGCATGTAGGTAGAAGATAAAATTTTCACTGATTCCCCATTACCACAACAGACTTCTGACCTCTCCAAGTTATTCCTTGGGGGTTCCTTATCCATCCAGTATTTAGGAGGCATTTTGGGCTGCAGTGGGAAGGGGGAGGTAGGGAAATCATGTGCCACAGATAGAAATCCTTTCATCTGTAGACATTTTAGGAGGGACCCAAGCCATTAGCCCCCAAAGATGTTTGGATAATGCATGCCAGTGGAACAGCACTCAAACATACTTAGTCATAAGCAGGGGTCATTTTGTAGAAACTGTATCCTATATGTTTAGTTCCCTGAGCATTTGAAAATATTTTTTTTCTACTTCAAGGCTGCAGTCACACTGGCAGCTTGGCGTGGTATGGTGGCACCTCAAATTGCACCAGTTCAAAGTGTAGAGGAGCATTCCATCCAGACCACACACCCTGTGGCAGGTTACCCATGCAGCCATCCCATGGGGGGGGGCATCCGTATTAGTGTTGCACTTCAACCACGGGATGAGCTGTAAGGGTGAGTTTTATTTAAATGCAAGCAGATGGATGCACATATGCGCATATAGGCAATAACGGGAAAAAAAGTGGCAGAAATGGATCTGCAAGTTCAGACATCCCTTCTAGGTTCCTTTTCCTGCAGGAGAGTTCAGATGTCAGAAAACCCGGAGGGAACACTGAACAACCCATTAATACTGGACTTTCCCCAGTATCAGTTTATTCCACTTCCATTGCGGAACAGCACAGGCTGCTGACGACTGTGTTACAGGAGGCAGATGTTCTCATCTGGAAGGGCCCATTCATTCTGCTCAGGTAATGCTACTATAGCGCCACAAACTGCATGTGTGACTGCAGCCCAAATGTATAGCCACTAGGACTCCTTTTTGAAGGAGGAGAATAGTGCTAGGGTAGAAGGAATTTTTTTTAACCTGTTCATCTTCTGTTGTTTCTACAATGAAAAATACAAGACTTCAACTTCTTCTGTCTTTTCATAAGAAAAAAATAGGTGCATGTAATTTTCTCCAGATGGAGACAAAAGCAGCCTGAAAGT